AATTTAACTACCCTACTGAAGAGTTTGAACATGGCTGACATTATACTTAATTTCTACTACAAGGAAGTAATTGTATAACTTAACTATTTATGTGCTTGTGTGTTCAAGCAGTATTTCGATAATGTCAGACAAATAATTATAAAATGGGATTGAAGGTAAACAAAAAACAGACCTAACGGCTGTAACTTTATTTGCTTTTATGAAAAAACAGAGATCGGGACTCATCAATATTTTTGTCTTTATTTTACAGTTTTGTTCATTTTAGTCATTTTTAAAATGAAATTTCTTCACCAATACAGCTGGGCAACAGTTCTCGTGATGGTCTGACTTGTTCAGATTGAATTCAACACTCCTACGTCTAACAACCAGTTTAAAAGACAAAGAGGAGATGTATGGATGCACTTAAAGAGGACATGGAGATAGTTGGAGTGAGGACAGGGTGAGATGGAGGATGACTCGCTGTGGTGACCCCTGAAGAGGCAACAGTCGAAAAAAGAAATATCTGTTTGTTGTTTCTTTGTGAAATACCTTTTTTTTTTTTTTTTGTTTAAAGTTCATGGCTGAAAGCCTTTGACATGAACTTGAGGTTTGTAGTAATGTGCAACAGCTAATAAAAACATCTGAGGCCTGACACAACCTCTCTTCTTATGCAAGTTGCACCCTTAGTTGCCTGCCAAGAGGTGACCTCTCAAGACTCTCAAGTCAAAGGATTACCTGTAAATAATATAAGCATGGTTTGGCAAAGCTGTTGTGAAGACGCATCTTTTTTGTTTAACAAGTGGAGTGGCTGTGAGCTTGCTCAAACCAGATTTTCTGTAAGATTCTCACAGTTTAAACAGAAAATGTTGATCTTTGCAAAAGTGTTATAAAAGTCCTAAACCACAAAATGCATATTAGTGTTGGGCCCAAAAATCAGATGGATATGTTCACAAAAGAAGCTGGTATTGAATATTTGCAGTTTTTCATTGTGTTTATTTCTCACTGGTGCATTTTAAAATTTAAAATCCTAATGTTTATAGTTTTTGGATCCTGTAGTGTTGAGAGGACTTTCACACTGATGGTTTAATTCTGAAGGTCATTTTGTTTTGCCGCCTAAATCACTTTTTCCACTGCTCTGTGTCAGCATTACTAGTCATTTATATATGTCAGTCAGACATTGCAGGCTTTACCAGTGATGTCATTTATTTACATGACATTGGAGCTGTTTGGTTTGATGTTTCAGCCTGGAAGATATTTTTAGAGCGTGGCTGAGCTAGTTTTTTTCTTATCTTTAAATTGATCTTTAATAAAACACCAGTCATGTTTGATTCTATATCATTTCTCAAACACTAAATATATTTTTCCACATTGTCAGGATAGAGGGATTTGTAAAATGCATCAGATTCAAATCGATGTGCCACTATTAATTAATTTGTACTCGAGACATTGGAGTGTTTTCACTATCCTGACAATTAGGGCACATTTATTTGAGTAAATTGTTATAATGGTTTACAGTTTCCATTTCTGTAGGGTTGGTCTGCGTCTCTTAGCAAAATATCTCCTGAACAACTGGATACATTTTGATGAAACTTTCAGAAATAAATCGTTGGAGTCAACTTGATTCAAGATGTTTGCCACAACCAACTGGTCTTACAACCAAGAAAAATGGCTGTAACTCAGTTTTATAGATTTATTTATTATTAACCTTTATTTAACCAGACAAATCCCATTGAGATCACACATTTATTTTGCAAGAGACGCAACAAACATTTTGTGTTCTTGGACTGTGGGAGGAGTATCTGGTGTAAACCCACACTTAACACAAGGAGAATGTGCAAACTCCACACAGTAAGACCCCAGGTCCAACCCAGGGATTGAACCCAGAACCTTCTTGCTGTGAGGCAACAGTGCTAACCACTAAGCTGTTGTGCTGCCAGATTTTGGTCCGGTAAGAGTTGAGTCATTTGAAACACACATTCTGAGTGCTCACCCAGCACACACAGTTTTTGCCTCGCTCCCCTCAGGCAGGAGGTTGAGGAGCATTAAGTGTAACCACTAGACTGAGGAACAGCTTCTACCCTGAAGCTGTTAGACTCATGAATTCCTAACCAGGAAAATCACAGTGAAAAAAAATCACTGTAATGCCACTTGATGATATGTGCTGCTGATTATCCATGCTGCTGATCTCATGCTGCTGATCTCCTGCTGCTGTGTTAATTCGTAGTCATCTGCTCACACAGACTCATGTTCGTGCTGCTGTTGTTCGCCGTATTGTTTTTGTACTACTAGTGCTTAGCGTGTTCTTAGTTTAGCGTATTTCTTAGTTCATATCTTGGATCTTATTACTGTTTTTCTTTACAATTTATACTTTTGTTGGATGTAACTGCAACCCTGTTTACACAATTTCGTTCCACCACATGTACCACATGTGGTGCGAATGACAAATAAAATAATTTTGACTGTGAACTTTGACTAACTGCAAGCTTATTGTTTAAATTTAGCCCTTACCTATTTGCAGTTAGCTTCATTAGCATAATACATCATAAACCAGTAGACTGATTTTTAATTAAACTTTCAGAATATAACCACTGACTGCGATTCAACCGAACAACTTTTGGACTCTAGCTATTTCAAGATGACAACTAATCAGCATTAGCAAACACACAGATGTCTGTAACAGTCAGTTTCATAGATATCGAGCTATATTTTTGATGTGGCAGTAGCATGAGATGGCACATAATGTTATTTTTGTATGATAGGTTTGACCAAAACACCATCACTGGTAAACTGAGATAGATGCATATAGGTAAATAAGATATTTCTAGATAAATAGATAGATGTTTGCCATATTGAAATATGGAATAAATGTCTGGCTGTGTGCTGTTGTGACTGATGGTGACACTGGCTGATATGAGTAATCTCTGATTCGTCTGCTGACTGAAGACACTGTCTCTGCTCTCCACACTGCTTCCATCACCAGCCTTTTCTCTGTACATCTCTTTGTGTCACATCCCATCCCACCACTTTGTTTTAGTGTGAGTCTGCCTCTCTCGTTCTCTTCCTGCTCATCTTTCTTGCTTGTTTTTGCTCAAATGTAAATCTAAAAGTCTTCTTTTTCTTAAGTCTTCTTGCTTTTGTGTGAATGTGGTGGACTCCTGAGGCTGTACTCCAGGGTCATACTGGTGCCGTTTGAGTTGCTGCTTGTACCAGTGTTTTCTGTTTTCATTTAGTTATGGGGGTTGTCACTGTTCATGTGGGCCAACCTCTTTATCAGCACATTAAGCATCACTTTGTCAAACATGAAGAAAATGTAAATAAAAGTAAAGATGTGGGGAAAAAAAAGTTTGCCTGTCTAAAAATCGTGATAAGTTTCAAAAGTTACCAAATTTGGATGTGAAATATCTTTCTGGTGCTGGGTAAACCATCATAAGAGAATGAAGCCATGGACGGATGAGGGTGACCTGTTTCTTAATATCTGGTGTAGATATTTAAAAATAAAACTGATACCTAACGCATTACTCCCTGACTCTATAGGAAGGGTTTTATTTCTCCTCTTATTTTTAGTTTTTATTCCCATTCATATCTTTTTCCTTCTCATTATCTCATATTTTTTCAGTGCTGCACAATCACTCCCACTTCACTGGTCTAAAAGAAGCAGGCAATTCATGTTTTCTCTGAGAGACCATCATTTATTTATGTCCTTTATATATAATTTCTCCTTTGCCCCGCGGGCACTGCTTCTAGATGTAAAAATAGTTCACTATTTATAGAAAACATCATCTTCTGTATTCTGTTGTCACGTCCTTCCTAATTCTCACATTTAAGTAAAAAAGAAAACCTTTTTCAGTTTCCTGTTAAAGTCCACATATGTATCCGTCATCCAACACCAGACAATTTATGTTTTATTGTAACATGAATGAGTTTTGTGTAGAATTTGTCTTAAATTGGCTGCAAACTCATGCGATATTTTTTTTATTGATTTTTTTTTTTTTATATATTCCTGGTAATTTTTGGGACATCCATTTCTCTAACTGCAAATAATCAATAAAGGTATGGCTATTAAAGCCAATTTTAGCTGACATTTTAAAAAAGGTGGAGTACACCTTGGGCATGTTACCATAAATAATTACAAAGCATGATGACTGTGGTGGAACAGGCTATTTATATTAGATGTAAAATGGTCAAAATGAAACAAAATGTTAACTCATAGAAAAGAATACAATTAGATGCAAAAAAATGACTGCACACTTAGTCTGTTATCTCATTCAAATAGTTTTGCATCTTCTGTGGGTCATTCTGATTTAGTTTTCTGATTCTTTTTAATCTTGAAATGTAATAATCAGCAGGAATATGTGCTATATTCAGTATCTGAGATGGGAAATCATAGTGTTACTAACAATGTTGCATCGCTTTCTAGCAGCCATTGAGCCAGCTTCACCTTTTGTGCCCAATGTTTGATTATTTTTGTTAGAGATGTACAGTGCAATATTAGATTTTGGGCCAATATGTTAAAACTTATTTGGCTGATAACCGATACCAATACCAATATTTTTTCCTAGACGTACTTACAGAGACTACATAGCTTTCTCTGCTGTGGAATTAAAACACTACATTATTCTGCATGGTCTTTGTCAGTGTGGCCTGCTACCAAATGCAGATGCTATAAAGGGGGCTGAAAATGATGCAACACTTTAACTTGGATAATGTTTAATATAACTTCATAACGTTGTGCTGGCTCTGCAGGAATCCTTGTCACTGGGTTGTCATACAAAAACAGCGCCTTTGTCCAATATTGAAATTTATCGCTAATATCGGCCGCTAATATTGTGCACCCCTAATTTTTATGTTTATGGTTTGCTTAAATAAAGTATTCCAGTTGTCACAGACTATCTAAAAACTTTTAGTATCTGGTGTTTTAATACAAATCTCAATAAGTTAAATGCTTTGTAGCTTCATTTGATGTTTTAGTCATCACTGACAAGTGTTTCAAACCCACTGATCAGTTCTTTTCGTCCTTCCAGGCTCGGAATGTAAACACAGGTGAGCTGGCTGCTATCAAAGTCATCAAACTGGAACCGGGTGAGTTACCTCATCTTACTTTTTATTTACTTTTTGTCCTTAAATTGCACATTTTGTGTCTTTACCCATCCCTCGTTCAATAATAATAATTAAAATAATGTTTTTTACACTTTCTCCACCATCAGTCTACAGTTTTATCTCTGGTCCTCCACCCCAACAGTTATTTTCATCCTTTGCTCTTTTCTATTTTTACCCCCTGTATTAGGAGAGAATCAGATAGAGGAAAAACATTCAAATTTTCAGTATAACAGTGTTGATTGCAGATGAAGTTAAATAAAATAAATGGTAGCTAAGTCTATTTAGGGTTTTTTTGTTTTTGTTTTGCTTGTTAACACTCAAAGAAAATCTCTCATGTCATGGCTGTTCTATATGTAGTAATGAGAAGGTTGAGTCAAATAATAACCTGTGTCTTTAATGATGTGTTTTTGTTTGTGTTCTGAGCGTAGGTGAGGACTTTGCTGTCGTCCAGCAGGAGATCTTGATGATGAAGGACTGCAAGCACTCTAACATTGTTGCCTATTTTGGCAGTTATCTCCGGTAAGTGTGTGAATGTGTGTGTCAGATGTGCAAAATGTGGTTGCAGCTGTTAAAGAAACTGAATGTTGATTATATCAAAGTCTGTTTTATTGTTTGAAAGAAAAAGAGATGATCTGATTGTTACAGAAGTGTGGAGTGAAGTTATGTATTTGAGAGGTTTTGACTCTGTACTCACACAGTTCTGTTTTGTTTGTCTTTGTTTAGGAGAGATAAGTTATGGATCAGCATGGAGTACTGTGGAGGAGGTTCTCTGCAGGATATTTATCATGGTAAGGGCAGCATGCAACCACACACAAACACATCATTCACTCAGGTCCTAATTTTTTTTTCTACTTATTTCCAAAAGTAACTGGGCCTTTGTCAGAGTCTCAGATAGCGTACATGTCACGGGAGACCCTGCAGGTACTGTATACATTTTACACAGTAAACACAAACTATTTTTGTTAAAGAAAATGAATATTTGTGAGCTTTGTCCTTTGCTTTAAGTCGAAATAAAGTACTTTTATTCATTCTTTCTGTTTAGTAAGGCTCCACCGTATTTTCAATGGCTTTTTTTCCTCAGATTGAGAAAACATAGAATGAGAATAATAAAATACTTTTCTTCAGATAAATAAAGGTTTAGTATTAAGAAAAGACGCATACTATAAAATAACTGTTTTAAAATAAAAAAATAAAAAGAATTGTACAAATTGCTTCCAGACACCAAACACTGACATAAAGTTCCTCTGTTCCCCAAACCAGGGAGCTCTAACTACCGCTCCCTTCCTGTGGAGCGATACCATTTCATCTCACAGTACTGCTTTCTGAGACGGTTCAGAAAACGGATAACTTTTTGTAGTTGGAGGCTAATAAAACTGTCAGATCAAACAGAATACTAATGTATGACACAAAGTAGATGAATGATAAGATGCTTACATTTGTTACCAGATCTTTCCATTTAATTTCCTTTTTTCCGCCGTTTTATTTTGGTAATGCATAACTGCATGCCACTTCTAAACAACCAACTTCTTTTTGCAAGGATGAAACTATAAGATCATAAATGGTCATTGGTTCCAATACTAGACTATTTGAATAATGTTTCAGGCTTAATTTTTTCATAAACATTAGACTTATATGTGCAATTTAGAACTGACATAAATTAGAAGTATATAAATACTGCGACTTGAATGAAAATATGTTTAAAAAACTTTATAAAGTATTAGTTTTGTACATTACTGTCATTTAAAGTCGCCATATTTCCTAAACAGTTGATATATATATTTTATTTTGACCAACAAACTTTATATAAAATCATATAGAATACTGAATTTTAGTTGCATAACTTCTATTTTTGTTACTTTGAAATGCAACAATAAGAACCAAATGGCCAATAACGTCAGCTGATGTATATTTGTGTTCACAGGGTTTATATTACCTACACATTAAAGGCAAAATGCACAGAGACATCAAGGTGAGTCTTAACAAGTCAAGTCAAGTAAAATTTATTTTTAACGCACGAGTGATCTCAGGGAAACTCATGGATTATAAATGTGGCCTTAAACTATGTGTGTTCTTTGATGTTGCCTTTAAAATATATACAGGTATTGGTCATAAAATTAGATTTATTTCAGTAATTCCATTCAAAAAGTGAAACTTGTATATTATGTTAATTCATTACACACAGATTTGATATATTTCAAATGTTTATTTATTTTAATGTTGATGATTATAACTGACAACTAATGAAAACCCCAAATTCAATATCTCGGAAAATTAGAATATCACTTAAGATCAATAAAATAAAATAACATTATTTTTAGAAATGTTGGCAAACTGGAAAGTTTGAGCATGAAAAGTATGAACATGAAAAGTATGAACATGTACATCACTCAATACTTAGTTGGGGCTCCTTTTGCCTGGATTACTGCAGCAATGTGGCGTGGCATGGAGTCGATCAGTCTGTGGTACTGCTCAGGTGTTCTGAGAGCCCAGGTTTCTCTGATAGTGGCCTTCAGCTCTTTTGAATTGCTGGGTCTGATGTATCTCATCATCCTCTTCACAATACCCCATAAATTTTCTAGGGGGTCAAGCAAATTTACTGGCTAATTAAAAACAGAGATACCATGGTCCTTAAACCAGGTACTGGTAGCTTTGGCACTGTGTGCAGGTGCCAAGTCCTGTTGGACAATGAAATCTGCATCTCCATAAAGTTGGTCAGCAGCAGGAAGCATGAAGTGCTTTAAACTTTCTGGTAGACGGCTGCGTTGACCTTGGACCTCAGAAAACACAGTGAACCAACACCAGCAGATGACATGGCCCCACAAACCATCACTGACTGTGGAAACTTGACACTGGACCTGAATCAATGTGGATTCTGTGCTTCTCCTCTCTTCTTCCAGACTCTGGGACCTTGATTTCCAATGGAAATGCAAAATTTTACTTTTATCAGAGAACAAAACTTTGGACCACTCAGCAGCAGTTCAGTCCTTTTTGTCTCGAGACGCTTCTGACACGTCTCTTGTTCAAGAGTGGCTTGACACAAGGAATGTGACAGCTGAAACCCTTGTCTTGCATATGTTTGTGCGTGGTGGTTCTTGAATTACTGACTCCAGCTGCAGTCCACTCTTTGTGAATCTCACCCATATTTTGGAATGGGTTTTGTTTCACAATCCTCTCCAGAGTGCAGTTATCCCTATTGCTTATACACTTTTTTTTCTACCACATTTTTTCCTTCCCTTCACCTCTATTAATGTGTTTGGACACAGAGCTCTGTGAACAGCCAGCCTCTTTAGCAATGACCTTTTGTCTCTTGCCCTCCTTGTGCAAGGTGTCAATGGTCGTCTTTTGGACAACTGTCAAGTCAGCAGTCTTCCCCACGATTGTGTGTAGCCTACAGAACTAGACAGAGACCATTTAAAGGCCTTTGCAGGTGTTTTGAGTTAATTAGCTGATTAGGGTGTGGCACCAGGTGTCTTCAATATTGAACCTTTTCACAATATTCAAATTTTCTGAAATACTGAATTTGGGGTTTTCATTAGTTTTCAGTTATAATCATCAACATTAAAAGAAATAAACATTTGAAATATTTTGGTCCGTGTGTAATGAATTAATATAATATACAAGTTTCACTTTTTGAAAGGATTTACTGAAATATATCAACATTTTCATGATCTTCTAATTTTATGGCCAGCACCTGTATGGATGTTGACAAAATAAAAACTCTTGTTTGAAAGCTAAAATGATTGTTGCTAAAATCACGATGCTTATTTCATAAATAGTATCGGTTCAGGTTTACTGGTCATGTATTTGTTTAATAAAGCAATATGCTTAATCAGAGCTCATTGCTATGTTCATTCATGTTAAAAATGTTTCTAAGAAGATTAATCTCTTGTGTTTATTTATATATATATATATATATATATAGATATGTATATAGATATGTATATGTGTGTGTGTGTGTGTGTGTGTGTGTGTTTTGCAGTTGAATTAAAATTCATCCATAGTTCAGTTTCTTGTGTTTGGTTCTGCATTGTTTTTTTTTTTGTTTGTTTCTTACAGGGAGCTAACATCCTCCTGACAGACAATGGCTATGTTAAATTAGGTGAGAGGAAAACATTATTTCATATCAATTACTATATCTGATGGGCTTCTTTTGGTGTCCTGGGTTTTGTGTTTTCTTTTTATACTTATGGTTTCATTCTTCTCTCCGTAGCTGATTTTGGGGTATCAGCCCAGATCACAGCAACTCTTGCCAAAAGGAAGTCATTCATTGGAACACCTTACTGGTGAGTTTTCCCTCATAGTGCCGTGCAGGTATTTATGCGGGTACTGTGAATGTATGAAGTAAAACAACATCCGAATGTATGCAGTACTTCTGTAATTAGTTGGGTTAATGTGTGGGAATTCAGGTGTTTGATATTTAGTGGGTTATTCTGTTGGAGTGTTTCAGAAATTGTTTTATGTTTCAAGTCATAACTTTAGTTTTAATGTATATAAATACTGATTTTATTCTACTTGTGGCTCAAGAGGAGCCACAGGGTACCAATTTAGCTTCTTCTAGATCATAATAAAAAAGCACATTTTGTTTTTGTGTCCAGCTGTTTATAACCTCAGAATGTTTCATGTGCTCCTTCTGTATCATCACTTTCTCACTGACTGTTCCTCTCTCCTGTTATCTAGGATGGCTCCAGAGGTAGCAGCAGTTGAGAGGAAGGGGGGCTACAATCAGCTGTGTGATATCTGGGCAGTGGGTATTACTGCAATAGAGCTGGCAGAACTGCAGCCACCCATGTTTGACCTGCACCCCATGAGGTAGAGTGAACAGTGTGTGAGCAGAGTTATTATGTGTCAGCATGGCCTGCAGTAATGTGATGATACATTGCAGTAAAAAAATGCTGAAACAGAAGATCTGTGCTGTAAAAAATGCTGGTGCCCTTCATTAAAGCTATTTAAGATTGTAGACTTTAATCCTTTTTATTTCCTTTTTTTTTCATTTTAAATTGAAGAAATTGAAGTAGGCATAAAAGTAAGTGTTTGTTTTTTTAGAAGTTGCATTGACAGCATTACAACGGGTATTACGTCACATTTCACTTTTAAAAAAATCCTAAAGTTTTACACAGCTGGGCATGTAAAACAAACATAAACCAACTGGTCTTTACAAAAAACAGCAATTTTGAGTTTATCAGACTTCAGATAAACAACAAATGATAATAGTTTTATATTAAATCTAAGCCATAATTCAGAAGTGGTGCTGAACTTTTGTAAATGTTTTCCACCTGTAAATTTTCTTATCACAGTAGAATTTTTTACTCCAAATTGTTTGGAAATGTCTTCATCACCTTTCACAGATCGATGGGCACCAACAAATGCAGCACACATACAGCCCTGCAAACAATCACAGCTTCTGCTTTTATAGAGCGTTGTCACATTTATTATAATTTACTACCATTCATTTCTGTGGAGGCAATGTGGGTCAACTTAAATTTCACACACTGCTTTCTGTTTTTGTCTTAGGGTTTTGGTAAATAAATCATTACAGTGTAAACAGACATAAATTGTTCATTGTGTTCATTCATTGAGATTGTGTTGACCTGATTTTTAAGACTCAATGAGAAATAATTGTGTTAAAAACACTGAATTCAAAGTGTTTTATTTCTCTTTACGCTGTTGTTTTTCACAGCTGTCAGGATCTGAGGTGTTGTATTTTTCTCCTCTTTCTTTCCTCTCCAGGGCTCTGTTCTTAATGACCAAGAGTAACTTTCAGCCTCCGAAGTTGAAAGATAAAGTCAAATGGTAATCCTATAGTTTTTCCATTCTTTTATTGTCTTACTCTTCATCAAAGGAGATGTTGACCGTTTCATTTCATCAGGTGTTTCCTCTCAAGGTCCAATAATGAGCTCCTTTGTTCCTTTGTGTCTTTCCTCTCTGTCTTTACCAAACAGGACAAATAATTTCCACCATTTTGTCAAGCTAGCTCTAACCAAGAACACAAAGAAGAGGCCCACAGCGGAGAAACTGCTGCAGGTGAGAACTGAAGCAGGATATTTCTAATTCTTTGAAGCAAACATGAATTTGATGATGCTACTTATTGTTGTTGTTCTATTTTTATTGTCATTAGTGACTTTGTAGGGCTTTTAGAATTGTGCCGCTCAAGGTGGCTGCATGTTGGAGCAGCTCTGTTACTTTCATTCTGAGATTTTGCTTTTGGAAACATTAATTCCTCTTTTTCTGGATGTAAATCACTTTTTTTTAATGATCGTTTCCGCTGTGCAGCTGGAACGATTTTTATTGAAACTTTTTTTAGTTTTGGACAGTTGTTATGATGCGTAACCATGACAACAAGCTGTTTAGTTTTTTTTTTTACAATCGGGAGCAGCTGATTAACATCTCAAAAGCTCAAAATAATATCTCAACTACAGCCCCAAATCGTAAATGAATTGAAAAGGTGGTGCTGTGGATGCATTCCCGTCTACCAGCCGGCTGTGCTCAAGTGCCTGACCACTGAGATCATGGAACTGGCAGGAAACACGGCTCGTGACGGCAGAAGGACCAGGATCGTCCCCTGGTCAGCTGTCTGCGGTGACAAGGAGCTCGGCAGGCTGCTGGGAGGAGTGATCAACGCTCTGGGAGGAATTCTGCCCAGCATGCAAGCAGTCTTGCAACCCGAGGGAACCGAGAGGCCGGATCGGACGGCATCTGCGGCCAGTTTCTTCTGATCCACTGTGGGACAGACCTTCCTGCCTACAGCCATCAATAATATTTATAACATCTCTTAATGAAATGAGGATAATGAGTTACAACAACATTTAATTTCCCTTTGGGATTAATAAAGTATTTTTGAATTGAATTGAATTGAATTAATATCTTGTCACTGGTAGATTATATGGAGTCCCTCTCTTGTTTGTCTTCCAGCATCCGTTTGTGTCGCAGCCTCTCAGCAGGACGCTTGCCATCGAGCTGCTAGACAAAGCCAACAACCCTGACCACAGCACATTCAACGACTTGGACGATGACGACCCTGAACCTGAGGTAACATTTGACCTCCTCCTGGTTATCTACTGGAAACACTAAAGTGTCATAAAGCTGAACGGCAGAAAAATGATTTTTTTGCTGGATTTTTCTTTCTCCTTCTTAAATTGTATCCTCCTGTCCTCAGTTGGTCTTTCATTGACCTTCTTGTCCACTCATCAGCCTTGTATCCTCTCTGCTCACCCTTCTTACTTTGGTTCATGCAACTTATTTTTTGCTTTTTATCCTCTCTCCCTACACCTTTTTTCCATTTATTCTTTCACCTCTTTTCTCCTGTTCATTTCTCGCCTCACTTTTCCTCTTTTCTCCTTGTAGCACTTCTCTTTTCTCCTTATCTTTCCTCCTCCTCCTTCCTTCTTCCCCTGTTTTCCTCTTGTCCTCTCATCTCCACCCCCATCCCCTACTCACTCCTCCTCAGTTTAAGTACAGAGGTCATTTCCTCCCCATAAGCCCCGGTGCTCGACGTGCACCCCGTTTTGCAGCTCGTAGGAAGGTACTTGTGTTGGCTGCAGTGATTTCGTTCTAACCCATCCGTTCTGTCATTTTATTTTGATTTGTGTCTAAGACTACAGAACTGACTGAACAGAGAGTGAATTTCCACTCTGTTCAGTGTCTGCTGGCGTTGTCATGGAAGTTGTCATTGGTATGTGACATACAGGCAGTTGATGGATTACCGAGGCATTTGCATAATTAGTTCAACATTCCAGGAATTTCTTGTACTTTAATTGTTTTTTTGTTTTTTTTTCTATCAGCTGATTGTATATAGCTGTATAATCAGAAACATTATAATCACTATGTTGGGTGTCCTTCTAAAATTTAAGATTTGTAGTTTTTAACTTTCTTTAACTATTTCAAACTCGTTCTAAATACTGTGAAATTTAGGATTAATGTCCTTATTTCAAATGTCTTTTCTCGCAGAAACACGCTGCTATTATTGATAGTCCATGTACCGTATTTTCTGCCGTACACGTCACGTTAGTCCAAATATAATTAAAAGTTCTAGAATTGTGCCGCTCAAGGTGGCTGCATGTTGGAGCAGCTCTGTTACTTTCATTCTGAGATTTTGCTTTTGGAAACTTTAATTCCTCTTTTTCTGGATTTAAATCACATTTTTTGGATGATTGTTTCCTCTGGTATCAGATGCTGTGCAGCTGGTAGGATTTTTACTGAAACTTTTTAGTTTTGGACATTTGTTATGATGCGTAACCATGGCAACAAGCCAGTTTTCTACAACCAACAGCAGCTGATTAATATCTCAAAAGCTCAAATAATATCTCAGCTACAGCCCCAAATCTCAAATGAGTTGAAAAGGATGTTCTGTGGATGCATTCTCATCAACCTGCCAGCTGTGCTCAAGTGTCTGACCACCGAGATCCTGGAACTAGCAGGAAACATGGCTCACGACAGTGGAAGGACAGGATCATCCCTCAGCACCTACAGCTGGCTGTCCGCAGTGACGAGGAGCTCGGCAGACTGCTGGGAGGAATGGCCATCGCTCTGGGAGGAGTTCTGCCCAGCATTTGGGCGGTCCTACAGCCCGGGTGAATCGAGAGGCCAGCCAAGTCTGGGTGGACGGATCGGACGGCATCTGCAGCCAGTGTTGTGCCAAAAGTCGATTGGCTGCCAAATGGCAGCCATGAGAGCGTGCACAGGAGGACTTTAACAAGAATTTAACAAGATTAACACCCAAAAACAATATTTGTTTGCCTGATATTATAGTAAAGGTGTGTCTCAGTTGAACTTTTACTTAATAAATTCACTTCAATGGTCAAATTAGCTGCATTTCGCCGGGGCGACACAGTGAAATGAAGTTGATTTGACGTTTGCTTCAGGCTAGCTGGACGAAGATGGCAACTATGGCAAGCCGATTGTGTCATTAATAGCCACTTTTACCTATTGCATGACCCAACAGCATGCCATACTGCTCGAGTGCCATCTAGCCACTGAAAATGGTAGTGTTCAATCTTTTCAGTCAGAATGAATAAAAACGGTCATATCTCATCCAAAAGTTGGTTTATACATATGGAAAAAATTCATAAATATGTCACTTCAGCCTATAAGTTGCAGGGCATGCAAATTATGCAAAAAAAACCCTGTGACTTATAGAGCAAAAATATTCGGAAGTCTTAATTTTTATTAAGTTTGTTTGCGTTTTAGGTACCGGTAATTTTCAGGAATCATAAAAGTATCATTTCCAGCATGTACCATGACAACCTCAGCAAGATTCTGCTATTTCATGACAGCAGCAGAGATGATGAAGTAATGTTTGGGTTTAAAGAAGTAAAGTATCACTTTGTTGCTCTTTGTCCAAGACAAACGTTTGCAGCCAAATATTATTTAAACGCAAAAGTGTAAAGGATGCATGTAATTATGGAAGCTGCGTTCAACATCCTTTAATGATTAAAAAAAAAAAAGTTTCTAAACACTATTTTACTGTTGCGAGAATGGATCTCTATTGGCAAATCTAGTCAAATGATTAAAGATGAATTTTTTGTAGTACTGGTTTGTCATCTTTGGAACTTTATAAGCATGGTGTGAGGTTGCTGTGCGTCTTAGCTGCTCGAAAAGAAATGTATAAGCATCCTGGACATTATTATCATTAGTAATATTATTATTAGACTGTAGGAAAGAAAAGCATTTGAGCTTACAAAGACTTGCATTTCTCTTCAAGAAGGAGAAGTCGGCGTTGCTGCTAGGAAAGGCTTTTGTTTGCCTGTGACTAGGTTGCTATGTTTTGGTGGTTTTGTTGCTGTGTGCTGTTTTGCTGTGTCATAACAAATCCTGTCCCACAGGAAATAGCAGAGGGCTTAAGTTTTTTTTTTTTTCCCAATTCATTTAATCAATTGTAATCTTCTCGACTCTTGTGTAAACTGCTTCACTGTGTATAATCTTTGAACAGCTCTTTGACTTCCTACATGTTTCTTTCCTTCCAGTCTCCGGTCTCTGTCCCCCATCGTATCCGTTCCACAAGCAGGAGCACCAGAGAAGGAAAGACACTGTCCGAGATTAACTGTGAGTTCTCCACCACAAAGCTCTCCATGTTTAAAGCCAGTCATCTTATTCTTTGTACATTTTTCCCATCTCACGTTTCTGTCATCCTCTTCGACTTATCACAGTTGGACAGGTGAAGTTCGATCCCATTTTGAGAAAGGAGACAGAACCTCATCATGAGCCGGTGAGTAACTAGGTTTGGTATTGTGATTGTGTGTCTGCAGGTGAGATTCGGTTCATGCGGCTGTAATCTCAGCACCCAGTAACAAGCACTTGACTAATATCCCTGTTGTCAGTGTGCATTGAACCAAACTTGATGTCCTTCCTCGTGTTTATTTTGCTTCATAAAATATTAGAATTTAGTTTACAGACCGATTTTGAAAGAGTTTTAAATTTGACTGCCTATTCCTGTCAAAACTAAGCCTTCATCAAGCTCTACTACGCATTTGTTTCCAAATAGATGGATTTGGTGTTTTAATATGTAGCAACATCTAATCTTAACATGAGCTGTGTTTTGATCACAAGGATCTTTCCCAGGAATCTGGTTCTTAGAGTTCTTTTTCTCTACTTCCTCCTATTTGACGGCAGGAATGAACGGCTAAGCCAGAGGGTCTGCAACCTGCGGTTCTGGAGCCACAAGTGGCTCTTTGGTCCATCTACAGTGGCTCTTTCAAGCTTTGACCAAAACTAACATAAAACTCAATTTAATTGGTTGTTTTACTAAAATAAAAAAGGGTCGTTTTAACAGTCTTCCTGTTTTTTTTTGTTTTTGTTTTTCCAAATATGTGAATAATAGAACAATACAAATAATAAAGTGTACTCACTTTATGCTTTATCTCTTCAAAGTAGGATACTTAATTTTTGCAAATAAAAAAAATTTAAATGATTGGCCTGCATTGTTAAAATTTTACAAAATTGTTAACATCTATATTTTTCTTTTCTTTCTTTACAACAATCTGTTTTTTTTTTCCTTTTGTCTTAAAATGTACAAATATCAAAAGTTAACAACCATTTGATGTTTTTAGTTCTATCAAGTCACCCCTACTAACCAGAGAAGAAAAGGCCCCTCCCAACAAGCTTAAAGTGGTCCACGGGCCACCAGTTGATGATCACAGCTGTACCAGATTGTTGTGGCTCCAGACACAAAGGGCTCTTTGGATCGTAAAGGTTGCAGACCCCTGGGCTAAGCAGAGTTCGGGGGCAGCGGTTTAAGCCCCACAAACCTGCTCGTGTTGTTGGTTATTTTTCTTGCAGAAAATAATTTTGAAAACCACAACACAAGTACTCATAAGGGAAGTGGAGGAGGAACTCAGTCGGTCTTGGTTTGATCGCTCAGACAAGCAGTCATTCTCCACGGTGATTTTTTCTGAAAACAAACTTTTTTTTTTTAAGTCCTGAACTTTCTTCAAACTAAACCAAAGCTGAAAAGAATATGATAAATGTGGTTTTGAGTAGACTAATAAAACAGTAAGAGTTCAAGCACAGTAATGGCAGTTCATCCTTCTCCTCACTATCTTTGACATTTTTCTACGTTTCGATGCACTTTCTTGACTATTCCCTCTTTTCTGGTTATCTGAGAAAATCCACTCAGCATCAAATCAAAGCCTTAACTTCCTCTGTGCAGCTTTAGCTCTAAATCTAGTCGACATCACCAGTCAGTCAGCTCTGCTTCAGATTTTACCCACTAATCACAGGTAATTCAACATCATATAATTCTGTTTTTGCTGTCGTTTTAGTTTCTATCACTTAATGAAGCTGTTTGTTTCTTTGTAAAATTAAAAAGCTTGAACAACGTTTATATTTTAACTGAATATTCAGAACACAGTTTTCTTTAGGCTGCATGTTTATCAGCATTTATCATTATTGTTATAAAAGTCCACATTAAACAAACATAAACGTAATAAACTGTCATTATAATGATCCTCATGTGTAATATTGGACAAAAAGCTGAGCTTAATTTAGAAAGCTGGTGTAAGATGGTTGCAACTAATTTTCACTTGTTTCCTAAAGAAGTTAAACAAAGAACTTTGTATTTTACATGCTTTGGTACTTGTGTGAATTTTATTGATACCACTCTTTGTTTTTATTTTTGTTTAGTTTTTTATTTATCTGCCATTTTAACACGTTCACTCCTGTCTCCCTTCTTGTTTTAACTTTAATAACCTCAAATCTTCACCATCACGCTGATCCTTTTACTTCCGAGCCTATTTTTTGTTTTGTTTTTTGGTGTAAAGTAACTTTTCATCTCTCACCCTCTTTCTTGCCCCTGTACATCTGTTCCTCCCTATTTCCTACATTAGTTCAGGTTCATGTATTAACTGAGGTCTCTCTCGCTCTGTCTTGCTGACCAGTGTGATTCTGAGCCCTATCTGGACTGTGTTGAGGAGCTCTACTATACCGCGAGATCTAATCTGGTAGTACTCCCTCTGTATCTGCCTCGTTCGTCTATCCGTCTATCAGTATATTAGCCGCTTTCTCTGTGTTTTCCAGCTCTTTCTTACGCTCCTTCTGATCATTTGTAATAATTCATTAAAGGATGAACCTTAGTCCTTCTTTTGGACCTTCTGAGCTGTTGTCTTGTCGTTCGTTCAGTCTGATGGTTTCAGCTGCACATTGCCCAACATAAATTTATCAGTTCTCACAGAGTTCGTTTTCTGGTCTGTCTGTCCACTTCTTTTCCGACTTTTACCACACTAACTGTGTAGTTGTTGTGAAAATGTTGTTTATGTCGTGCATGTGTTGCGCACTTTAACAAACGTGCAGAGGAAGGTCAGATAAAATTGAGCTGCAACCATAAAGACCAAAAGTAGCACATGCATTGAATGGTTGAACATTTGCTGTATTGTATTGTTTGACATTACCTAATATTTCTGTTTTTTTCCCTTCTGTTTTAATCTAAAATTAATCCTAATTCCTCATGTGCTATTCTTGACCATAGCCATTAAACATGTTTTCTGTTTGTATGTTAGTGTTCCCTTTCAGAACTCGTCTTCTGCTGCATGCTTCTTGTCTCGTAACATGTTCCTGTGACAGTTATGTTCTCACGTGGAGGTTTTAAATGACAAGCCTCAAACTGTTTTCTTCATGTCAGTCAGAATGATGCTGAATGCTCAACACCTCATCAAGGTGGTTTAAAACGAATCAAACTAAATTCCAGATGATTCAGTCCTTTAGCACCCATTGTGTTCGTTGCAGTCATCAGCAAATCTTTCTAACCAGTGCAAAACAAAGCTTTACTGCCGAAGTCTTCCTGTTCATAAACATGAGCAGAATCTTTATGCTTTCAAAACAGGAGTACTTTGCAGTAATATTTGTTGTACCTGTATAAGTGGTAACACAGTTTAAAAAAGCATACTCATCACTTGCATGTCCACATTTTGAAAGGACTCATTTCAGATCTCAGCAAAGCTGGGTTTTTTTTTTTTAACTTGCATGTATTTTTCTTTTGTAAAATAATTTTCTGTTATTTGCAGTCAAAAAGGATTCTAGAGGACTAACTGATTGTTTTGACTGCACATGATGGCTGCAAAACGGCTTTAGCTTTTGATGACAACAGCAAACATGCTCATAAAAATAAAAAAAAATAAAAAAGAATGACTGCACATGTTTGTAATTTTCCACCATGGAATTATAAGGTTTTAATTTTTATTTTTCTGTCATTGTTCTATTTATATAGATTTTTTTTTTTTTTTTTTTTTTTAGAAAATTATCTTTAAAATTGTTTGGTTGTTTTTATTTTTTATTATAAATGACAGTGGTTCTCAGCATTGAGTTTTATTGGACATTACATGTTTTTATAAGCTTATAACACTTGGTTAGAAAAGACTGACACCTTCGAATCTCTGGATGTTTTATTCATTCATTCATTCAAAAGAAACAAAACAGATTCCTAAAAAAAGAAAAAAAATGTTTTCAACCCTCTTCTATGATGATATACAAAGAAAGAGCGGGACCACCAGTGACTTTCAGGCAAAACTAATCATGTCATTGGTTGCACGTCTTTGGGCTGTGTGCGTCTTGTCATTTTTAACAACACATTAGCTTTCTGGAACAGTTCATATAGTGACATCGATAAACTAAACATGCATTTTTACTCTTGTTGTAAAATAATTGGGGGGGGGGGGGGGGTTCACTAGACATAACTGACAAAAAAAATTGTACATTCTGTTGTAGGGATGCACGATATTATCGGCATGGTATTGGCCAATATTAGGGATAAACTTACATATTGGACATCGGCCATTCCATCAAAATAACTCACCGATCTAAAAGGTGCTGTTTATATACATATATATATACATATATATATATATATATATATATATATATATATATATATATGGTGCTATTTATTTATTGCATGATAACCCAGTGACAAGGATGCCTGCAGCTCCAGTACGTTATGACGTCACACGCGCCGTTGAGTGTAGATTAGTGAAAATTTACAAGTTTGCACTGTTGGAGTGTTGTCATTGTGTTAGAGAGAGTAAATGTCATGAATAAATTTGACATTAAACATAATCCAAGTTGAAGTGTTTCATCATTTTCAGCCCGCTTTTTGTCATCTGCATTTGGTAGCAGGCCATATTGACAAAGACCATGCTGAATAATGTAGTATTTTAATTCCACAGCAGAGAAAGATATGTAGTCTCTGTAAGTAGGTCTAGGGGAAAAAACATTGGTATTAGTTATCAGTCAAATAAGTTTTAACATATCGCCGTATCGGATATCAGCCAAAAATCCAATACCCTGTTGCACAAGATAAAATAAGAACTCCAGTTGTTGTAAAATGCTATTAAAAAACAAAAAAACCATTCAATTCATTTAGCACAATTGTAAATTATTGCTATGGAATTTTTTTTCTTCTCAAGTGAATTCTTAGCAGTATATTCTGTTTTTAAGATTTTAATTTTGTGCATTAAACTTCTTCAAATATAAAAAAAAAAAAAAAGCAATCTGGAATCGGTTTCTCCGAAATTCTCTACACACAGATATAAAACTTTATGATTCCAAGGTGGTAATTTTGTTTTTCCAGTAGGCTGCAGCAGTGAGAGTCTCTGTGATGTTTTGGCAGTCAAAATAACTTTTAATTACTATCATTAGTACTTTTTATGTCAGTCGGTAAACTACACACATATCAAATGTGTAAACGAGTCTCGTATAATATACAATAACAAAGGTACTCAAATAATATTTGTCTTTTAGGATTTGCAGTTGGAGTATGGCCACAATTCATCAAATCTGTTGGGAGAAAATAAGTAAGTCTCACTCTTTTTATTTAATTTTTTTACAGCTGTGCTCTTTAGTTCTCCGTGCCCTCTCTTTGTTTTTATTATTAGTTGGACAAGTCCAGGTGCTTTTTTAATTTGTCATCAGGAATCAAAAGTTGTCATTCTGAAGAATTCATGATGCATTTATAATTAAAACTGGGATGTTTTCTAAGCTTTTTGTTTGAGCGCAGCTTCCTGTGTGCAAGCAGAAAACTGATAGCCAGAGCAGGATAGCAGAGTGGTTTTATGAATTTAACTTTTTTGCTGTGAAACAAAGATTATGTTTTTATCTTACTCGTCGTGTCATATTCTACGTTTCATACTTTTCCATTTATTCCATAAACAGGAGTCTTCTTAAATCTGTTGAGGAGGAGCTTCAGCAGAGGTGAGTCAGACTCTTTGTATCTACATCGACCGACGTCTTGATCTGTTTAACTTCATCCACTCATCGGACAATCAATTAACAGCAGGACTAATTGTGTCAATCACACACCACTAATGCTGTTGTAATGACTTCAGGCTGTCACGGCTTGCAGCATTTTAGGTTCTGCTGTTTTGTTTTTCTGCTGTGGCTTGCTCTATGCTTTGATGGAATCAGGAGAATGCAGTGGTGCTTAAGAGCTTCTTGCAGAGAGCATGGTGCACACGCACACACAAACGAACGCAGGTACACATTCTCTGTGCTTTCAAATACATGCACTGCCTGGTGCTTGTAAAGATGCAGTAAGTGTTAAAGCATATGCTAGCAAGATGATAATTATTTATACGCTTTGTGATTTATGGCGTTCTTGTGGGAAAAATGTGCATTATTGAGAAGTCCAAAGATTAGAGATTTTGCATCTGAAGACAGGTGATAAAGAACTAAGATTGCCTTTTTGCCAGTTGCCAATATCAGCATCCCCCCCTCCAACAATCCACCTTGTATAAAATATATGGCTTTGTTGTTGTGCTGACCAAATACAAAAAGTTTCATAATGATAGCTCTCTTTTTTATGACCTGAATGACTGAGGATCTACACAAACAAATTGTACTGACTCGTGTGTTATCTGTTGGAGCCCAGTAATTTTATTAAAAGTAGTATTAGAAGGTTTTCTGTCTGGAAATCCTCTTAAAAAGTATGTTTATTTTTAGCTATCTGGTTTTATTGTTGGTTTCTCTTTTTATTATATGGAGATTCAAAGAACTGACACTTTGCCAGAAAGACTGATTGCTGCTCTAGGTCTGCTTGCATCGACGACTATGGCTTGAGCCTATTGTTAAAAACCATGACTCATTGTATGATTTGTTTTATGCTGTTTATTCCTAAAATAACATAAATTGGCATTTGTGAATACAGTACTATGATTAATGCGTAAGTTAGCGCTCATTGGTTATGCTTTCAAACAACTTTTACAACTGTTTTTAGTTTTTTTTTTGTTTGTTGTTTTTTGACAAATTAGACTACCCTGCACACCTCAGATTACATAACACTGTTGTTTTGTTTATGTCAACATTGGAAAAAATCTCTATTTTGTCAATATGAAAGATTAAAGGTGAAATGGCAAGTAACAGAGGTGGTACAAAGTAGAACCTGACCGATTTGGAAATATTGGCTATCATTGATATCAATATTAGGAGGGGAATATTAATGCCGATAACCGATATATCAGTCCTTTGGAGGGGCGAGTAGAGCGGGGCTTGTTTATTTAGCGCTGCTCTTGGCAACCATGAAGCTAAGCAAATCAGATCCATGCTACACCTTGTTCCACACTAGGTTTACAAGTGGTACACTAGTTATAACAACAATCTTCCTAACGTGCGCTCACATTTTCTATCCTCCATTATTTACCATAAGTTATCAAATGTTTTACAAAATATAAATTAAACAAAGAAATGCCCATTGTTTAAACAGTCAGTCACATATGGTGAAGGCATAATTACTATTGACCGCAGCAGTGGTTTTTTTTCTTTGCAGAGAAGTAAAGATTTCAGACAAACAATGCATTTCATTGAGGACAACAAAGATAACATTAGTAACACTGATATATGTTTACCTCTATATTAGATTTGTTGTTCTGGGTAAAGTTTTAGAGGGCAATAGTCTATGCTAGGTTATCGAAACATTAGCTTGCTAACTTGAGATGCATGTAGCTAATGACAAGTGGGTTGGAGGATTGAAGATAATTCATTATGGTTGATTTTTTTAATTTTTATTTTATAGATCATTCATTCATTCAACCTTTATTTAGACAGGTAAATCCCATTGAGCCTCGAGGACTCATTTACAAGAGAGACCTGAACAGTTACAAATAAACTTACCATGCTCTGTTCAGTAAAATACACTAGAGTTGCATTCGGGCCCAAAAAATCTGACCCGGCCCGGCCCCAGCCCATAGCCATCATTTCCGAACCGACCCGACAAATTAACAGTAATTACAGGTCCGAACCCGAACACCCCCCCTCCCCCATTGTTAATTAAGCTTTGACTGCTTATATAGTTACTAATGGTTGGCGGATGCGCGTGGTTGAGTAAAAGGAGGCAGCAGATCGAAGTTGAGGGGGTGTTTGTCTTTTCATGGCCATCAAAAACGCATTAAATCCCTGCTTCTGCCTGCATTCTGCATTATACAGACACAGACCCTGCTCTGACATGTTGGATATTTTGGGATCTCATCTGTTTGTGTCGTCGGCCGCACATGTCCACTGAGTGCAGCGGCTGAATGAACGTCCATTTGGGCTTTGATGGACCGCTGCCTGGCCGTAGTCCCATCTGAAGCTTAACTGAACTTTTTTTAAACTTCTTTCAAGGCTGGTCAGCGTGCAGTCAAATGGCCGCATGCAGGTGGTGATTGTATGGCAAGCCATGTTTGCTATATAATCGGATCGTCAGCCGCTCGCGTCCACTGACGCAATCAAAAGCTTGACACGGGCCTAGCCAGCACATTATTATAGACCAGCCCAGCCCGACCTGGATTAGGACTGGGTCGGGCTCTGGGTTCTGGTTAGAAATGATAGCTGTAAAATATGCTACACAGTATTTAGTTGCTTCTGCTTCTCAAGTGTTCAGCATGACCATGAGTTGAAAGTATGTGCCCTCTGCTGGATACGTTGTACAATTACACCATTTGCAAGTACGGACACGACTCGTTCCCCGCATTTTAGGGGTTATAATTAGAAGTGCTAATATCAGCACATAATGGGCCAATCATCACAAATACTGTTATGTCCCCAAACACATATATCGGCCCTACCAGTATATCGGTCGGGCTCTAGAACAAAGCCCTCCTCTTATTAACATATGAGGCATGTCAATCTACTGCAGTGTTTCCCTTACCATTATACAAGCAGGGTGCCCCACCCTGCCAACAGAACCGAGCACCCTGCCTACCAAACTGAACTAACTAACTGAACTGCCGGCACTAGCATATTACTAAGCTCGCAGCGCGCAATACAGACTTGCAGAGGTAGCACTCCGCTTCCCTCACACTGAACCATCTCCACCCCTATCCCTCGTCGATAGAAATCACATAAATGGCTTTAGATCTGTTTTGCCAGCCGTTTTGTGTTTGAACCGGTTAAACACGGGCTTTTGGTGCTAATAAAATATCTTATTTGAAAACAAGCTGTCCTTTCGGAGTCAGAGTTTTAGTGTTAGGAATAAATCATCACAGCGTTTACATCAAGGGTGCCATATTTAAATGGGTTTTAAAATACAGGTGCTCACTCTAAATATATATATATGCATATGTATATGTATAAATATATAATTTCCACAGTCAGTAGTTGTATGGTATTCTCAGCAGTTTGAGGACTAGAAATATACAGCAAACCTGAGTAATGTCTGGTGCCTGCTCCCCAAGGTGAAAAGCCTATAAGCTACAATAACCTAAAGAGGTATTGCCTATCATACAACCAGAGGTGGACCACAGCTTCTGAAAATTACTTCTTAAAATAATTATTCTAGTTAGTTAATTTTTTTCTTCGACAGAGTGCAGCACCTACTTTAAAAGTATAGCATTTCTGCTGAAATATTGTTTCCATCAGTAGTGATCAAAGATAATTTTGAGAAATAGCCACGTCTGCTGAAGGTTTACAGCACGGGACTTGGTGCTGAATAAACACTTTTTAGCTACACCCAAAAGCCACAGAATTGTTGGTGTTATTTTTTATAAACCGTCATAAAAAAACAACTTGATCATAGAAGTTTTAGTCACAGCTATAGATCAACAAAAACAGCATTTATGTTTGAGATTCTCAGAACATATGTGATAGTTAAGTACAGTATATTTTTGTTATATACGTAGTTTAAAAAGATCTGGTTCTCTTTGCGATCAAAAGGTCAATATTTCTTTGAGTTTACGCAGTATAAATTGTAATAGAACTTCAATCTGTTCAGCCTGTTCCGATCTGCCCTGGGTTTAGATGTCAGGTAGTTTGTGAACCGAGCTTTACTCAGCTCTCCCTCCCCATCCTCCCCTTTCCTCTATCCTCCTCCTCTTGTTGTCGCCTCCCATCATCTTTGCTTGCTCCTCTCCCCCTTCTTATTTCCTCTTCCCACTGCAAAAATCTCTACTCCACTTTTCCTTTCTGTCCAACTCTCCTGCTGTCTTTTCCCTCCTCTCCCAGGGGCCATGTGGCACACTTAGGGGATGATGATGATGAGGATGATGATGGTGCAGATGATGATGAAACTCACACTCAGTAAGTTCCCTTTCAGACTCAGAAGCGGGAAGCTTCTCCTTCCATGTCTCCACATCTATTTTCCATTTTCCTCGTGTGGCCCTTCCTTGTTTCTAAGAGAAAACAATGAGGATGAGGAGCAAACATGGAGGCAGGCTTGCTGTATTTGTCACAGTTTCATCCACGCATCTCTGTGCAGCACACAAACCATCACGCCACATTTGCCACCTGTGCTTGTGTGTATTCATCCATTGTGTGTGTTTTCCACGCTGTTCCTGCTGCCTGGTGTGACGTTTCAAAACTACTAACATCTTGCCTTGTGGGGTAGATTTGCCATGACCTGGATGACTGAGAGTCAACCTACTAACACCCTGAAGCTACAAACTCACAAAGAGGCCGTGTATACTCTATACACTTTGTGTCTATAAATTGTCATACTTGGCGATATAAAGAAATGGCGGTGTTGAAAAAAATGAACTGGCTTTAGATCTGAGAAAGGCCATTTTAGTAAGATGTACGCTACAGTACTAACGCTTGCATGTAGTAGCTTTAAAGTTTCACTCTAAATGACATGATTAGTTTCATTTTTATATGTGGTCCTCGTGATACTGTCATCTTCCCTGCTATTACATCTCTGTTCTTCTTTCATTGCCATCGTGTGCTGTCTTGCTGTTTGTGTGCTGTCTTGTCATTTCTCTACCTTTTAAAAAAGGAAGAAAAACCATAGGTCTGGCATCCAGCCTCTTTGCCTATTGTTTAAAACCCAAATTTCTATGTTTGGCCAAATTGTTTCTTGACAACATATTTTCTCCCTTCCACAGCCAGTCAGGGATTTTGTGCTTTTATTTTGTTGGACCCAATAGACATGAGCTTGTTGTTGCAGAGCATGCAGTGTTTTGATGGAAAAAAGGACAATCAAACCATTTCCAGCTGTTAATATACTAAAAACAAGCTAACGTTGCAAGGACTAACATTGTGTTTGGTAGAACGTGACATTTCAGATGGTGTGACATACACACACAGCTTTTTACATTCCTGCTAAATCTTAAACCAGTAACAAACTTTCTCCTAAAAGTGGGTGATATAAAAGTTTTCCATCCTGAATGATTAACTCTTTATGGATTGGATCAGTAAATGGTGTTCTGCAAATCTTGCTCTTTCCCTTTTTTCTTCCCAACTTTAGCGGGGTTTTTTTTGCACCTGCAGGCGTCTTCTTACCACCCCCACTGGGACCTGTATTCTCTGTAACTGTTTAAACTTTATCAGCAACAGATTATTTGTTATTGATAAAGTTAACAATTTACATTTTGGTGTCTTCTTACCACTCACATTTAAAACTGTTACGTTTGTTAGTTAGAATACGTATGTGTCAATGTTTGATTAGTAAAGTTCACATGTTATGCTTTTTTGTGATCTAAGTTGATTTCTAAGTTTTTGGTTTGAAGGCAGCTGGACTTCCTGTTTAATTGAAGTATACATTTAAGAGATAAAACAAAAATCCCAGTTTCCTTTGAATTAATTTGTTCGTATTATCATGTCCTGGATGACTGAGAATGTACACCTGCATACTGAACATGTAAGATATGTGTTTGTTCCCTGTTTATAAAGTCATTTTCACACATGTACTAAAGATCTGAACTATTATAGAGGGTTGGTGCGCGAGACTACACGTCTGGATAGCATTTGATCTGGTTTTCTTTTGGACACACTATTCCTCCTAATGAACTGTTCAGGCTTTTACCTTAAGTGAGCTTGGAACAGCTGATGTTTCATATTCATGTATCTGCCAATCTGCGTTTTGTTTTCCACTTGGTGTAAATAATTAAAATGTGTGAAGCATTGTGGAGGAGCCTCATTCTTGACTTGGTGAAAGGAAGCTTTCCGCACTGCACTGTATTGCATCATGTCTCCCAATAACTTTGGAAAGAGGCACAATTCTTCTATGTCTAGCAAAAAGTTAAATCATACATGTAAACAGCAAAGTCAAACTTGTCAGCTCATTTCCTGAACTTGTGTGAAAATGGCTTTTTTTTTCCTTTTGGTGTCTGTGTTATTCATCGGGGGTCACTCCATCCCATTCCACTGTTCATTCTCATTTTGTCCTCTTCTAATTATTGGCTTTGTAATAACAAAAACATTATAAACTTGTTTTTAATTATGGTTTCCCAGAGAAACACACATTTTGTTAAGAAAAAATATAATATTGGCTGTTCAGAGAAGATGAATAATTTGGCATAATTGGACTTTGAATATGTTTGTGCTAAAACGTAGCACATTCGATACGTTTGATTACCATTCTCAGAGCCTTTACACTTATTCAATTTTTAAATTTGCTTAAACTGCAAATGTCCTTTCAGTCATCTCTCTGGGCAGTACTTCTTATGTTTCTGTATGAAGTATTATCAGGTTTTGGTTTTACCTGTCATGTAAGTGATTGCTCTCACTGTGATGTGTTCTTTTAGGTGCGTGTAAATTATTACAAGTTATGTCAAACTATTTTAGTGTCTGTAGCTTTAGACTAAATCAGCAAAATATAGAAACCAAAAGATGGGGTCATAGGAAGCTGTCCTGTAGGAGCGATGCCTACAATCCTTTTGTAGGCTGGTAAAACCAAAGCCTCAATTGAAACATGTTTATAAATTGTATATAGGTTTTGGTCAGACTTGTCTTGACATTTTTTATGTAAAGTTTTTCATCCTATTATTCTTTAGTAGATCAAGTACTATAAAGAGGCCCAAAGACCCACCCCCACTCCCACCTAAGGTAGGAACAAGTGACTTTTTTTTCCCCATTAACTATTTCCGATTTTAATGTTTTTTCTCCCCTAAAACATTTTTCAATTTGTCTTTTTTTTTTTTTTTTTTATCTGCTCCAGCCGAAGTCCATCACCTCGTCTAAACAGCAGCCGCCACCTAAACAAGATGATGGTCAGTCACACCACGAGGACGACAGTGGAGGAGGTACCATCAAGCGCTGTCCGGTCCCGGAGACGCCGAGCCCCGCCAAGCCTGCCTCTAATGTCCCCCCAAGGCCTCCGCCCCCGAAGCTGCCGCCCCACCGCCGCAGTAGCCTAGGTAACGACAGCCCAAAGTGCAAAGATGCGGAAAACTCCGCTCCAGAGGAGGATGATGGGAGCTTTAGACATTTCTGGGAGTGGCTCCACACGCCTCACACAGAGAAGGAGCTGGAGGAAGCGTGGGAGGTGCTGAAGGAGGTGAAAGAGGAGCAGGAAAAGGAAGAGAGTAAGATCAGCTGATTGGTAGCTGGGTAGTGTCCGCAGACCCTGTCGTTCTCTTCAGTTGTGTGGTCTTCCATTGGTTGGTCTTTGTAGACTAATTGATTTATTTGTTCCATGAATCCATTAACAACAATAATGCTTTGATCAATTTTGTGCTTTAAGTTCCTTCTATTTATCAGCTCCTTCTCTGTATGTTCATCTCTTCTAAAGTTTGATTAGTTTCATTTTTAATCCAATCAGAATCTCCTAACACCTCCCCCCCCCCTACTTTGAAGAAGACAGGAGGACTCCAAGAAAACCTTTTTGTCCTTTCAGAACTCCGACAGAAACATAATGATTGTATGATAGTGCCTAAAGATTTACAATTGATGCAGTGAACATTAATAATATGTAGTAAAAATATTGATCTGGTTCTGGATCGAAGATCTATAATTTAAACAGTTTCTTTGGAACATTCATCAACAGCAGCTGAAATACAGGAATAGACTCCAGTTTTGTGTGTAGCATAAAAGGACATTAAGCCTGCATCCTCTGTTAGCAGAATATCAACACCTTGTTCATATATTGCTTATTTTAACTTCTAAGCATGTATCAAATGTTTGAAACTATTTCTTTAGTTTGGAAAAAGTATATACCAGTATTTCATATTTGATCCCATTGGGGATTTCTTGTTTTTATTTTTGCTTATTTTATAAATTAGCTTCATCAGATTGGTCTAGTTCAGTGTAGTGCTGCTGCCTAAACTGTTGGATAAAGTTTGTTGTCTCAAACATTGTGGTGGTTGAGCAGTTCTGGGTTTTAGTGTCACTTCAGGCAGGGAGCAGAAACTTTTTTTAAATTCACTGGTCAATGGTGGTTAAGATGAAAACTTTCTGATTTCAACCTCTAGCTGAGTGAATCTTTACTTGATGGTCTTAAAAAGGGTAAATGAAAGTTTTGGAGTTTAAATAAAACTAAGGTGTCAGCAGGCAGGCTGGTGTTACACTGTGCTGTTGCTCTGCTAATTAATAAAAAAAAACAATCAGCAGAGATGAGATTAGTAACAAACGCACATTTAATTATCATTGCAGTAAGAGCATAAACTGATTCTGGTGGATTTTTTTCTCCATATATTATTTGATGAAAATATTGAAATGATGTTCAAGCACCTTCCAAACAATGAAACTAGATGTTACGAACAACAGAAAATGATCAATTGCTTATTTTTAGAGGCGTATTTGTGTCCGAGCAGCTCATTCCTGTAACTTAAATATCTCTTTTCATAGAAAAGCATAAATCGATGACGTAATACGAATCAAATTTTTGACATGTCCTCGAATGATTCACTTCAACTGATGTGCACAGCGCTGCCAACACTGGAGCCACGCCCGCTCAGGAGATCAGAAGTCTTTGTTTCGTCATGTCGTCGGTGCAGCTTGTAATGCGTCGTCTTGTTTGTGCAGAGGTTGTTTTGTTGACCGGTGTCTAGCAGATTCACACCCTCCATTGCTCCTGACCATATATGATCCTTCGTATTCTTCCTGCTTCCTCCCTCCTCCCCCCTTGCTCCCAAGAGTTTGTTTTTCCTTGCAACTCCTCTGTCTTTTGTTTGTAAGGTTAAATTGCTCTAATTATAACCAAAACTGTTCAGTCTCACTAAAACGTGGCCTTGTTGTTGTTGTAGGTAATGGGCTGAACTCTCCCCACAATGGTGAGAGGGAAAGTCCAGGAGAGAGGCAGTCCACCATGCCCCCTAGTGTCCCCACGCGGAAAGAGAAGAAGGACGTTCCGGTAAGGAAATCAGAGATCTGAGTCCACTCAAGAGATTTTGGTTCTACTTTAAATGTTTTCAGTGAGGCATCACACTGATGCTTCTTATGTTAGTAGAAGACGTGCCAGAAAATAAACTTCCCTTGAAATGAATAGAGGATTTCTTATTGATTTGTTTTTATTTTAACTGTTTATATTTCTCTATTTCAGAAGCCTATCAGTAATGGCCTCCCACCAACACCCAAAGTCCATGTAAGTGCCAGCCTCTTGTACTGAAATGTGTAACAAAATCAGTACTCATCAGTACTGTTCAGAGTACTCATACAAAGGCTTGTGGGGAAAATATAACATTCTATCACTTCTTGAGTACCATTTGTGAGCTTTATTTAGGGATGCATGATATTATCGGCATGGTATCGGTATCGGCCGATATTAGCGATAAAGTTAAATATTGGACATCGGCCATTCCATCAAAAATAACTCACTGATATAAAAGACACTGTTTGTATATATATGTATATATAAGGCACTGGTTTTTTATGACAACCCAGTGACTAGGATGTCTGCAGCACCAGCATAATAACTTTGACATCACACGCACCGTTGAGTTTAGATTTGTGAAAATTTACAAATTTGCACTGTTCGAGTGTTGTCATTGTGTTAGAGAGTAAATGCCTTGAATAAATTTTACATTAAACATAATCCAAGTTGAAGTTACATCATTTTCAGACCCCTTTTTGGCATCTGCATTTGATAGCAGGCCAATTTGACAAAGACCATGCAGAATAATATAGTATTTTAATTCCACAGCAGAGAAAGCTATGAAGTCTCTGTAAGTCAGTCTCCCCACCATCACATACATCTACACCTCCAGATGCAGGAAGAAGGCCACCTGCATCATGAAGGACCCCACTCACCCAGCACACACACCGTTTGCCCTGCTCCCCTGAGGAAGGAGGTTAAGGAGCATTAAGTGTAGAACCACTAGACTGAGGAACAGCTTCTACCCTGAGGCTGTTAGACTCATGAATCTCTAACCAGAATAATCACTGTGAAAAATCACATCACGTTGCTGCTGATCTGTTTCATGTTGCTGCTGATCTGTTTCATGTTGCTGTGTTCATTCATGCTCATCTGCTCACACAGACATGTTCGTGCTGCTGTTCGGCGTATTGTGTTTATTGTTTTTATGCCATTAGTGCTTAGTGTATATTTAGTTAATGTTTTTCTTAGTTCATATTTTAGATCTTATTACTGTTTTTCGTTTACATTTTATACTTTTGTTGGATGTAACTGGGACCCTGTGTACATAATTTTGTTCCGCCACATGTACCACATGTGGTGCGAATGACAATAAAGAATATCTGAATCTGAAAGTAGAACTAAGGAAAAAAATATCTGTATTGGTTATCGGACGAATAAGTTTTAATATATCGGATATCGGCCAATAATCCAATATCGTGCCTCCCTAGTTTTAGTAGTAATATGTGATCCTTTTCTTGAGTAAATAAACTTAATTAGCATCAGAAAAGGATTTGTGACTTTAATAACAGCACAACACAATAAACACAATCATTATTTGGACTTTTTTTGACTTGCTAAATGGAGTGTACTGCTGTCCAAGCAGAACAGCAAGGTGTACCAAAGTGTGTTTCAGATCCTTTCTACACTGCCTCTTTTGTTTTGTCCTGTGTGCAGATGGGTGCATGTTTCTCCAAGGTGTTCAACGGCTGTCCACTGAAGATCCACTGTGCCACTTCATGGATCAATCCTGACACCAGAGGTAACCAACAGAGAAACGTGCACAACTCCCAGGATGAATGAAATGAAAATCTTTAAATGATGATGCATTACTTTATCCTAAGTAAATGTGAAATATCTGTTTCAGATCAATATTTAATATTTGGAGCTGAAGAAGGAATCTACACGTTAAACCTTAATGAGCTTCATGAGACAACAATGGAACAGGTGAGACCCTGTATCTATTAAATATAAACCTCTGTTTACTTTTGCATGTTCTTTATGTTCTAGACTATTATTTAGGGGTGGCTTATAAAAAATTAAAAAAAAGCTGTTGAAATTTAATTAAAATAGTTTAAGTAGTTATTAAATTGTTGTTGCTGCATTTTTATTTTCTGTATCTGCCTGCAGCTCTTCCCTCGGAGGTGTACGTGGCTTTATGTCATGAACAACTGTCTTCTTTCTATATCTGGTGAGTTAAACATCTGTGTTCAAGTTATTTAATGAATGACTGCTGCGATTTCTGCTGTTTTAAACTTGGAATTTATGTAAGCACCTAGTTTTGAGATTTAAGGTTTTATTCGTATAACAAATGTCTGACATCTGTAATTCTTTCCTCTTTTTTTGTTAAATGAAACAGGAAAAGCTTCTCAGTTGTACTCCCACAGTCTGAGCGGTCTCTTTGAGCAGGCTCGACAGTTACAGAAGTTACCAGTAGCCATTCCCACACACAAACTCCCCGATAAGATAATTCCAAGGTAACAAGCCAGGAAACCAAAGCTGTAAATTATTTACAAATTCCCTTTTTCCTTTAGGCCATGTGATCAGTTAAATTGTAATAGGTCACACATATTTACCTTTGTGTGTTCCATCACTAATTACATTACATTATGAAGCTGTTTTATTGTCTGATTGTAGGAAGTTTGCTGTGTCCAATAAGATTCCAGAAACTAAAGGGTGCCAAAAGTGCTGCGTTGGTGAGTTTTATTTATTATATTTTTTTAGCTTATTTCATGTCTTAGTGAGACTGAGTAGTTGACTGTTACAAGCTGGACAGTTTGTTTTTAAACATTTTCACACCAGTAAATTCAAACTTTTTTCAAAGTAAATGCCTAATAGAACCACAACATCCCAGTCCCTAATAGTTTGTGTTGTTTCCTGGCAGTCCGTAACCCGTATACAGGCCATAAATACCTGTGTGGAGCCTTCCAGTCTAGTGTCATGCTGCTGGAGTGGGTGGAGTCCATGCAGAAGTTTATGCTCATTAAGGTCAGTTTTGCTCTCCTCACAAGTCCTTGTGATTTGGTATCTAACGTGTTTGGGTCTCGTTTTATGATATTAAAAAACACAGCTCTGAAATATCTTTCTTTAAATGTGCTCCTCCAGTTTTTTGCACAACAATCCTGTTGTTCAGTGTTTTACAGCAGATTAAAGTTCTCTCGTGCAAACCAGAAAGGTTTTTGCTCATTACCAAGAGGAATGGTATTAGAGAACACAGTTCTCCAAATTATGACTGGACTTTTAGCCTTTTTTTTAATTGTCAACCCGTCACTGTCCACGAGTCTATATGTAAATAGAGCAAATATCAGGATGATTTTCATGAAGGTATTGCTGGTACTGTTCTCTGCTTCATAGTTTTTCTGTTTGCCTGTATTTATTTGCCAACTGTTCATCAATACTTTAGTTCCTATATTTTAAAACCCATCTAGTGCCTTCAAAGTCAGTGACCGTATTGAGGTAAATTTATTGAAAAAAACTAAAGGTGAAACAGAGAACTTTTATTTTGAAAGGTACTTTTTGTACCATTATATATTTCACAACTGAAAAAAGTAATTGTTCTAAATCTGCAAGGTTGTTGACATGGTACAAGTATATAAAAAACACTTTCACTTGTTTTTAAAGAAACCCACTGAATTATGAAAAATATCATTAGAAATCTTACGTGTTGTGTAATAACGTGATTATTTGTGACTTATTTACTTCAATTGGTTGTTTTTGTTTTAAACATGATTTAAAATGCGGACGTGTTTAAGCTTTATGTATAATAAAAAACATTATCTGCAGCATTAAGCCACAGAACTACAACAAATATTAAAACTAGGGGTGCCAATCTCTGTGTCTGGCAAATCAATTCGATTTCCATTTTTGTTGTCACGATTCGATTCAAAATCAATTTTTCAATTCAGAAACAAGTTTTGATTCAGAAACTATTTTTCTCTTGAAATTATCAAATTTTGTTTCAATTATGTAACTGACAAGTTGAAAACATTAAACAACAATGTAAACAAATAGAACGTTTATTTAAAACAATAATTTTAGGTTCTTTACTGTATCCAATCTTTTTGCATCATTTTATATTCATACCAAAAATAGGAACAAATATAGGCGTGCATAAAATTCTGTAAATTAAATTACCAGTATTAGCTTAGTTGCCTGGATTTGTCTAAAAAAATGTAGGAACAAATAATTCATCCATCCATCATCCATCAGCTTTACCCACTTCTTCCTTTACGGGTCACAAAGGTCACTGGTGCCCATATCAGCCATCACTGTGTGAGAGGCGGGGACACCTGGACAGGTCTCCAGTCCATCACAGACAAATAATTCAAAATATATAAATACAAAAGTAAACAGACTTCAGTCTACCATAGTATATTTATCTTTAACTCAAAGTAAAATACAGACTTCACATTTTTTTTAACCATATTGCTCTAACATTTGTTATATTTTCAAAACTTAACCTAATATGAAATATACAGACTTCTATTGATTCATATTTGGTAAATCTTTAACATACTTTCAAAACCTGTGCAAGTTTGCACAAAATCTCTTCAGAGCTGTACTTTATAAATCATAAATTGTATCATTTAGAACTGGCTCCAGGCGATGTCTCATCTGGCCTCTTCAACCTGTTCAAAAGACAAATTACATTAAGTTTGTTGTATAACTTGTTTATTTACGTTTTAGTATAATATGAGAAAAAGCAGTTACCTTTGAGCTGCAGCCGGTGCATTAATCAGAGCTTCTCCCACTTTATTTTTGTATCATGGTGGAGTTGTGGAGCTGCTTTATCACTAAAAATCTACGTGAAGGAATAACTTACGTCGAGTCCATCGTATTAAAAATAAAACTAAACCCCTCGCCTTCCTCTGAGCTCTCTGCTTGTAAATCTTTGTGATAGAGCAGGAGATGGAGGGGCCTTCGCAGCCTTTGGGGAAGCCTGGAAGTTTGTTTCAGAGCTCGCTGGTCGGCTGCTTCTCTTTCATCTTTCACACATTTGTCATATCCAAAATACTATACCGCAATTATTTTTGACGCTTCTTGCAAACAACCGTGCTCTTGTTAAGCTCTGTCTTCTCCGGAACATTGTAGGATCTGACATGACTTTTAGAGACGAAGGAGCAGGTTGAATCGTGCTGTCCTGCTGCTCCATGCTAACAGACTCCACTCAGATAAAGAGAGCTGGCTAACTAGCTTGCTGTACGGTGGCCTACACAGCCCAATTCTATGGCGTCTGAGTGGGCACGTAATGCGATATGCAGTACACTCGGGTGTAGGAGCAGAAAAACATAAAACTTAAACACATTTTAAAATCGATTTATGGGCCTTTAGAATCGATTCAGAATCGCCAGGACTAAGAATCTAGATTCTTTAATAAATCAATTTTTTTTCTGCACCCCTAATTAAAATCTTCTCTTTATTTGTCCTACAGTCCATTGATTTCCCTTTGCCATGTCCACTGGAGGTCTTTGAGATGTTGGTGGTCCCTGAGCAAACCTACCCTCTCATCTGCGTAGCGGTCAGCAAAGGAACCGAGCTCAGCCAGGTGGTCCGATTCTGCACCGTCAACCCCAACGCTACCTCCTCCTGGTTTACGGAGTCAGGTTAGAGCAGGGTGGTTCTGCTGTGTTTAAACAATGCCATGAGGGTTCAGGAAGAAGAGCTATTTAATACTTCTTGTCCCCTGCACAGACACGCCACAGACATGTGTGATCCACGTCACTCAGCTGGAGAGAGACACCATCCTAGTCTGCCTCGACAGTGAGAGATTAATTTTTACCCTCCTCAAATGTCTTATGTTGTGCTGCTTACATTTTGAAGTGTTTACCCTCTGATTTTTTCATCTCTACCTTTTCAGGATGTATAAAGATAGTGAACCTCCAAGGGCGACTGAAATCCAGCAGGAAGTTATCAGCCGAGCTCACCTTCAACTTTCAGATTGAATCTATAGGTAAAAAAGAACAAACCTGGAAAAAAACACTCACTTTAAAAATATATTTATATCTTCTATATTTTCTGCTTTACAAGTCGCTTCAGTGTTTAAGTCACATTAATCCAACAATATATAATAAAGTGGAAAAAAAAAAACATAAATAAGTCACTTCGCTGTATAAGTCGCATATATTATACGTCACCGCTGAACCCCGGGAAACGTGGACTGGTTTTAGTGCCAAAAATTGATGGGCTCCCACGAGAGGACTTTAACAAGAATTTAATAAGTTTAACACTTAAAAACAATTATTTGTTTGCTCGATATTATAGCAAAGGTGTGTCTTAGTCGAACTTTTCCTTAATAAATGTACTTTAATGATCAAAACAGCTTCATTTCGCCTGAGTGCTGGTGTTCCTCGGACGAAGGCTCCGGACGCAAGCTCTGGAGCCTTCCTCCGCCTGCACCTCGCTGCTTCCTGGGGCAGCGGAACATGCACCCCGCTGACCCTTCCTCCCATCTCGTGCAGCGGAGGAAGCTGTAGAGCTTGCAGTCAGAGCCGCAACAGATGGATGGATTGATAAGTGGATGGATGGATGGCACACCGTCGCAGAGGAAATGCGCCCGGCAGGAGACAGCCAGACACGGGGGGAATGTTCCCCACAAGGGGGATCCTCCGCTGCCATGCAACTGTCCCTTCCACCGCGTTGAATCCCCCAGACAGACTGCACGGACCCGACTCGTTCACAAACTAGGGCTGGGCCATATTGTATCGTTCACAATAATACGGGTAAAAAAAGCTTGCCCGAGAAAATAAATATCATGATATGCTAATTTCATGACGTAAACGTGTTTGTCCCGCCCCGTTAACAGAACCGAGCTCGCCAAAATACCGAACCAAACAACGCACTCCCCCATCCACCTGTCGATACTGGCGTAACACTAAATAGCTGCGCACAATACTAGCTAGCTAAAATGCTAAAAACGAACAACGCGCAGCTCAACTGCGTTTCTCCATCCAGCTCTAAACTGCAGGTACAGACGGTGACAACTCAACTGTCTCTCCCCCCCCCCCCCCCCCCCCAGCGCAGCTCGGCTTTTTTCCCTCCCCCCACCCAGCTCTGGGCTGCCAGTGCAGGCGCAGTGGGTCCCCCCCCCCCCCCGCTCCAAACTGCCAGTACAAGAACAGAGTCAGGTGATCAGAGACAGAGCATCAGAGAAATGAATCATTCCTGCAGGAACAGAGGAAGCTGAAACACCACAAGCTTCAGGGTCAGATGATCACCTTGTTACAAGTTCTGGAAGTTATAGCTCATTTAAAGGCAACACATTTTGTTGTATGTTACATTTATGCTCAACAGATCTTAAGATTCATTTTATTTAGTTATTTTGGGAAACTTCACCTGCACTTTAGTTTTTGTGGTTGATTGATTGATCTATATTTTGTGCAGACTTTTTCAATCTAAATAACAGAAGGATATTTCTTATTTTTATACTTTGAGACGGAATACTTTACTAAACAATGTAATTTCAGTAAAATTAATCCTTGTTTTTTATTTTTTATACAATACTGCAAAGCAACATGTTTAGGTTAATTTTGTCAAATGAATTACTATGATTTCTGTTTATTTTTGTTACATCATGAAATGTATCGTTATCGTCAGAATGCTCTGAAACATCATGATATTATGTCTGAGCCATATTGCCCAGCCCTATTACAAACTTTCTTTCTGCTGCTCGATTACAGTTTTGGGCTGCATATTTATTACCTGCAGTTAGTAATCTGCAAAATAGGATTTTCTGTTTGGGGACATTTTACTTATGTTAAGTTTTTCTCAGTTGTCTCTAAGTGAATGTTTGTGGGGTGGGGGATTGGGGGTAGAAGAACAACATATAAAAGCCTATAGGGCCATCTAGCGGCTGCAACTGGTAATGTTTACTGGTTCATGTCTATGAATGAACATTTCAAGCGTCAGTCAAACACTGCGTTATGAATATGGAAAAACAAAACGTATATTAGTCACTTCAGTGTATAAGTTGCAGGACTTCTGCAAAAAGGTGTGACATGTTCGTGCTCATCTGCTCACACAGACTCATGCTCATGTTCGTGCTGCTGTTCGACGTAATGTTTTTATGCTATTAGTGCTTAGTGTATTTTTAGTTGATGTTTTTCTTAGTTCATATCTTAAATGTTATCATTGTTTTTCTTTTACATTTTTATTGTTTGATGTAACTTGGACCCTGTGTACATAATTTCGTCCCACCACATGTACCACATGTGGTGCGACTGACGATAAAGAATCTCTGACTCTGATAATGATGTAAACAACCGTGTGTTTATTTGTTTTACAGTTTGTCTTCAGGACAGTGTGCTGGCCTTCTGGAGGCACGGCATGCAGGGAAGGAGTTTTAAGACCAACGAGGTAAGGTCACTGCTGAGCACCTGTGTCTGTGTCCAGCCCGAATTTCGGGTCGGGCCAAAATTATGTGCTTGATGGGCAGGCCAGGTCGGGCTCAGGCTTTTGATACGGTTTTACGAATCATACAGCACAAAGAAAACTAAATAAGAATGTGCAATATAAAGTTGTGTTAATCTACTTGCTGAGGAGGAGGCAGTAAGTTTACTATGTTGAGAGGATGAGGAAAGGAAGAAAGAAGAGTGCAGCAGTTAATCAGACTGAAAAGAGAGTGGCGCATTGCGCAACAATTGCGCATATGGCCCCGCCCACACTTTGCTCTTATCACACATCTGAGGATTTGCATCTGACTCGCAACAAGCGACATAATGGAGCTGGAAAGTATTAAACAAAAGCTAAAAATGGGAGAACTCACTCTACAAAGCCAGCACAGTGAAACCTGCTGATGTGTGTCAGGTCAGGTTAACGCTCAGGTCTGACTGGCGGTTGAAAGAGGTAAAAAAAAACACATCATCTTTAGAGTTGATTTTTTTTACTCTATTCGTTTTGTATGCTAATATCCATTTGGTGACTTGTTAATAAACAAGAAAAATTATATCTTCCTTTCTTTGAAATATGTTTGTAAAATATCATGTCAACCTAATTTGCTTACAAAAGCAGTAAAAGTTTAATTAGAATTTGTTTTTGTTTTTTCGGGTTCAGTCCTCTAATTACAGTTAACTGATCATGTCGAGTCGGGCTTGGACAAAATGTCTATGGGCTAGGGTCGGGTTGGATTTTTTAGGCTCGAATTCAACTCTTGCCTGTATTGCGCTGTCAGTGCCGACGGGTGGGGGAGGGGGGTGTCCACGCAGTTTGGTTCGGTGGGTGGGGCGCTCTGTTCTGTTGACGGGTCGGGGCGCCCCGCTTGTATAATGGTAGGGGAAACACTGTCATCACTGGTAGTTAATAAAACGGTCAAGCTCAACTAAAGTGTGCCAGTGAGGAGCAGCTGTTTCAACACCGCTGGTGTGAAGAAAACCAGGACTTAAATTTCAACACTTCTGAGGCTTAGGGCTCCGTTCAAGTCTTTATTATTAACACAGATTTAATCTTAACTGAAATATGATGCTGTGTCGCCTAATATGTTCCTGTGATCAGTTTGCTCAGAGGGAGTTGTTGCTTTGTTGCAAACGGTCCATGTTCAACCATGTGGAACGTGCATGCATACAGTCTCACAAGGTCATTTCAATTGCGTGGTGAAAATAATAACTAACTGCGGTCAGAGGGGTTGTTGTTGGAACAAGACGTCGTTCTTTATTCTTGCAATTGTCTCTCTTTTTCCTCAGATCACTCAAGAAATCTCTGACAATACACGAAACTTCAGACTGCTGGGATCAGACAGGTGAGAAACACCCCAACTCCTGAGCTGTTTTCACTCATGAAAGTCAGATATATTCAGATAAGTATATGCGAACAGTTGGACCCTGACACTGGTGACACCAGAGTTTCACAGTGAAAGGTGCGCTCTCACAGCTGGAGATACTAAACAGCAACAACATATGGTTCTTCTCAGCTTGTTGAAAAGGCTTCTTTCAGATCACATCTAGCTGAATGCATTCATAACACTATAGATCAGCAAACAGGAGTCAAGGATAGGCCTGCCACGATAACAAATTTTGCTGGGCGATTAATTGTCTCAAAAATTATTGCGATAAACAATAAATTGTTTTAAATTTGACAATAAATAGTAATTATTGTCAAATTTAAGAAGAAATGTTGGTTAATTTGTTTTGAGTGTAGTACCTTTTTATGACCATCGGGTGGCAGTATAAGACACGGTCACATCCTCTCACTTGCTAATTGTATGAAGGTTTTATGATGCCAGCTATAATATGTGTGGGGGGTGGGGGGAAATCCTGCAGATGTCTATTTTTTCAACATGCCGCCAGAACATCTCAGAAACATTTTGCAACTGCAGTGGATATGTGCAAACAGCTCTGACATTAGTCACAGCCAGGCACACTGTGTTAACATGCTCTCTGATGTGTCATCACTGAAGACGTGCTGATCGTAGACATCCAGAGGCTGGGGACAGGAGCCTCTCCCTGCCCAGGTACTGTCACTGTTCACAGGCCACAGACGGCCTAAAACCTCGCCTTCTTCTGTTGGGGTTCTTGAAAGCTATTTCTGATTTTACTGGATCATGTTGGTGTCTGTTTGGTCGTTGAGTTCATTGAAGTTGAGACTCAAACACATTAAGTCTTCTTGTTTTCCTCGGTGTGAACAGAATTTTTCTCTGTGCTGCTTTTTTCCAAATAACGGGTCCAATATTCTTGTATCAAAACCTTTGTGGCTTGCTGGTTGGCGACAAATGTTGCTAATATAAACGCTGGGTCTTTATTTTTCCTTGATTCTTTATTTTACTTTATGGTATTTAACCTGAAGCATTCTAAAACAAACGGTTTTGATTTAACTCAACTGGATCTTGGTGTGTGTTTGCCTGCGTGTGTGTGTGTTTGTTTGCAGAGTGGTGGTGCTGGAGAGCCGGCCAATAGACAACCCTACGGCCCACAGCAACCTCTACATCCTGGCGGGACACGAGAACAGCTACTGAGCCCCCAACGTGCATGTTACTAAGGAAACACCCCGTCGCTCTGCAGACAACGGACGTACGAGCTGGTGGTTCATCCCAAGCCTGCACATTTCCCTGGCCAGCCTCCACCTCCTTGTCTGACCTGGTGGCTTCTTCACTGGGAAATGAGTGGATCTGGATCCATGTTTTACATCCCTTTTAAAATCCACCAGGGCGTGTATCGGTAAGCTGTGTGTCGTGGCAGAACGGGTGGGATTTAGATCAACTTGTGATGAAAGAACTGGTCGAAGCTGCCGCAACAGATTGAGACACTTGTGGAATCTTCTCTGAGACACTGAATCCCCTCCGCTGACTTCACATAGGGTTAAAAAAAACAAAAACATCCAGCACAGCGATCCAGTCAACACTATACTAATCCTACAACTAATACTACTGCTACTCGTGCTAAAGCTTCACAAAAAGGCCATCGTCCCAAGATTCTTTTTGTCCCCCTCTTCTTTTAGCGTTCCCTTTATTTATTGTAGCATGGTGCAACTTTAATACCCTGGATGGCTGTTCTGATTTGTTGTTTATTTCTTTGAAAACAAACAAACAAAAAAGGACTTCACAATTGTTGCCACTTTCTTTACCGTCAAGTTCCAGTACCCATTCTTACACCACGCAAGTGCTTAATCAACCTCTATTTAATTGTTGTAAATATAAATGTATTTCTTTTTTGATAAACACTAAAAAGGCTGGTTGTGTAGATACGTGTGAATATTTGCTCTGTAAAGCCGTAGAGACGAAAAGAGACAGTGTGGGTGTGGAGGAGTCCCGGGGCAGTAAATGATGTGGGGCTCAGGTCCTCTCAGGCGGACAGCTTTAGTTTTCTGACTTTTCTCTCAGAACGACGTAACGGACGATGATCCCGCTGAGCGAACGCAGGCAGCGACGGCGGTCGCTCAGTTTCAGTCTGCATGCATCGCCATCCTTCACCTCCTGCTCGTTTTGCACCGCAGCAACAGACCGGTGGAGTTGTGTCCCTTTTAAACGATCCTCTTCTGTTTATTTTATGTCATTTTAATCAGAAACATGTCCTTTAATGCTTTCTTTTATTTGTATTGAACCACTGGTGTTTAAAATTTGCACAGAGAGAAACGTATTTCATAAATGTGATGTCATTATCATGTATGACCTTGTGTGTATGCGCAGTTTATGGCTGTAGATGTGTGTGTATGTGTGTGTGTGCATGTAGACACGGAGTGCACACACGCAAGTGTTCAGGTCTGCTCTTCACCTGCTTCAGGCTACTTTAAAGGACCAACAATGGATGCGGAAAACAAGAACTCGAGCTAGATTTACACAGAAATAATAGAGATTATGGTTTGGCCTGTCCTATATTCAAACAGTAAATATTTAAGTAATAAGGACAAGAAATGTTTTGTTTCGTCAAACAAGCTGTTTTTGATTTATAAGAAAGAATATAAAAGGTGATAAACGCTGTACAGTACCGCAATAGATCTCTGTTCTACTGTCGCCTATTACTAAATAGATTTTTAATAATTTCTCACTTTTTTCTAGTTTAGACGTTGACCCAGAAAATTACCAAAATATTTTTTTTTAATCTGACTTAAACTTGGCTGCGTATTATTTCTGTGCAAGTCCCGACGCTTCCCTTTATTTTGATGTGTTTAAGTAGCAAGTGGAGAAGTTTTTGACGTCAGTCTACTTCGCTGTGACTGTTTTAAAGACTGAAATCTGTTAACGGAGCTCAAACTTTCTGCATGTATATTCACACCCGTGTGGCGTTACACTACCAGTCTTCACAAGCTGCGACTTGAAGACTTTAATCTTAGTTTAGCTCATATACTCTCCTCAAGAAAGAAATCCTCCAGACTGGAAATGTGCTTTTATTTATTTTTTTATTTTATGTCTCGCTTTCTAAAGGTTTATTCCTCGGTCATGCTGTCATCTTGTCCATACGTGTTGAAGCTGAAGAACAGGAAACGGATTAGATGAGTATTGATACAAAAAAATAAAAAGATCAAAACCGCCTCTTTTGCGTTTATAGGAACGTTACCGCCACGTGTCCATGTGTTTATCAGGTTTAACGTCTCGACTTGCAGCAGCCAACAACATCAGTGATTACAACTTGTGGAGCAAGAAGTTTCAAACTGACTCCACCTGTGTTGGAGCGGTCAGTGGGGAAAATACGTAAATGTCAGTAAATGCTCCCACAACTAAATCCTAACGTGGTTGCAGATATTTTAACAGGCTAAACTAAAATGGAAATCCTTTTTGGCACAACAGGTAGCGTTGTTTTTGCCGGTCATGTTGGAGGTGGACACTGAGATAGGTTTGTCACGCAGATTTAAGTAGAAATCATGTTTGGGAACTCTTGGACGCAGTTTAATTTCCTTCAAAAGATAAAACTTCGTCTTTTGTTCTCACTTCACTGCCCCCACAGCTATTCACTGACAGGACTCGCACGCCTTCTTCTGCACAGTTTGTAGCTTTGATTTATTCAACAGATCCCGTCTGCTCCCAGCAGTAAGTTTAGGAACTCACCGTTCAGTTAAGGCAAGAGGTGGGCAATATATGACTCGAGGGCCAAAAGCGGCCCTTGGACAATCTCTATCCGGCCCTCAATATTCTTAAATGAAAACAAAGCAATTTCTAAAAAAAAAGATGAAAACTTGCATTTTTTTATCAATGGAACTTAACACTAAATTAAACATCTTGGACAAATACATCAAAAACTTTCAGATTAATAAACGCCCAAAATGTTTTCCTGAAGTTGTTGTGTTTCCAGAACTAGACTGAACCTTAAATACTCCAAAAAGCAAGTATATGGTCTTGTATAATATATTGTGTCAACAGCCAGTTTACAAAGAATATGTCATACTCTAAGGAGACATATTTTTGTAAAGCATGCTAACTTTGCTATAAGAAGCTAAAGTCTGAAATAAGTGTTCCAGCTGATCCGTCTTACAGAAAATCTATTTACTATTTCTCTCTGTGGCCCTTCAGTTGCTTTAAATACTGTGATTTGACCCTTTGGGAAAAAATGTTGCCCACCCCTGAGTGAAGGCATGAACTGCCCCATGTATGCTGCCTGAGCCCTTTTTAGTCAAATCAATTCATACTCGTGGAAAAGTCCATTTTGTTGAGCAGAAGAAATTACCTTAAACATAAATTTACACAACTTGTTCAGACGTGAATAAATCGAGGCTCCGTTTCTGTCCAAACAGTTTAGATTCTTTTGTTTTTTAAACGTGTTAAACTTGATGGTCACGTTTAGATAGTCTACTGTAAATGAGTCCTCGAGGCTCAATGGGATTTACCTGTATAAATAAAGGTTGATACCTCGGGGTTAACTTGATGTCTGCAACTATCTGAGGTCTCCGCGTCTTTTCAGTTGGAGCATCCGTCAGATTATGACACTACAAAAAATGTGAGATTTTCCTCTTAATCTGACTGCTTTATTTGCTGTAAATCAAAATATCCTCGTGGTTTTAAATTAAATGTTGTGGTTTTCTCATGGCTGATGCAGCTGAGCAGTCGCAGACTGAACTTTCTTTACAGATTTTATGATTTAAAGCATGTCGAGAAGAAGAAAATTCACATTCTCATCTTATAAACGATCTTTAGAAAGAAAGCATGTCCGTTTTTTTTCAATTCGCATTTCTCGTCACATCTTAACCTGGTCAATATTACGTAGAAGAAGTCTCTGTTAGGGTGTTTGAGATGCGTTTCCTGGTTTAAAAACTACCGCGTTCATATTAATATAGTTGTCTTGAGGTTTTTTGATGGAAGCATCACCTGTTTTGTCCTTACTGCAGATCAGTGTTAATTTTATTTTGTTTTATTTTTCCCCCAAAAGCTGTTTGAGCAGCAGCTGACGTCTGTTCTGTCACCATTACGTCATTTCTGTCTTTTGTTTTCATGATGCAATTCTAAAATGTAAATAGTGTAAAATAAAAATGGGTTTGTTTTACATACTGTATAATTGCCTATATTTTGTTTCAGAAGTGTAACAGATTTATGAGACAGCAGGTTAACACATTAAAAAGATGAAACCGAGGCGCTTGGTGTTTTTCACTTTGTGTGTGCTGCTTTGAAAAACTTTTATACTCGTACCTTTTTATGATTAGCCAAGATGCTAACTGTCAGAAACATCCATGCTAACAACCTTCTGTTTATTATGTTGACCTCTTATGAAATGAAACAGAAAACACAAGAAGGAAGAGTTTATGAAAGAAGACGAGCGCCTGAAATAAGTTTATTTCAGAGTTTTAGCTTCTCGTTTCTCTCCAGCTCTTTCATCATTTACAGAAAAGCAGATTAATTTCTTTTGTTTAAAAAAAAAAAAAAATTCCCAGTTTACAATCCCATGAATGAAACAGCTTAAACTGCAGTCTAGTTGTGTATACAGTAGTTTTTAATTGCATTAATCAGTCAGGCTTTGCACATTAAAGTAATAGCATCACGTAGTGTAACGTAGCTAAAATAGACTCATCTTGTGTTTCTCTGCACAATGTGAAGTAGCTGGGTTTGCATCCAGCTGTAGATTCAAAATATTCAAAATAATTTGCATAAAATCTGCATTTAATGGACTCACGCCAAGTGAGACATGGACTTTAAACGTCTCTTCAGGTACCGTATTTTTTGGACTATAATGCGCACCAGATTATAAAGCTCACTGTCAATTTTTGAGAAAATTAAAGGATTTTAAGTGCACCTTGTAGTCTGAAAAATACAGTAGTTATAATCTTTTAAGGGAAAAAAATGAAAGAAGTTTTGTTTGGATAGCTTTAATCACTTGCAGGAAAAGATTCTTGTGCTTAAAGTTTTTCCCATTTTATATTTTAGCTTTAAAAACATCAATCTGTAGCTACTTACAAAGCACAAGTTACATGTTATAGTTACCGATAAGTTGTGGAATCTAAATAAACTTAAAAGCCCAAAAGAAACAGAAATGTGTTCAGGTTAGTGTAATTTTACAAGAAGAAACATTAAAAGCATGTGTTTTTATAAAATATATATACATATAATAGATGTGTCATTAAATCCAAATAACAGCTTGTGTCACTTTGTTGCTGGTGCATCAAAGTGTAATAAATGTGAAAATAATTGAACCATTATTGTGGCTAAAGAAGTCAAAGATGAGCCAAATTAAGAGCTTCCTTCAGTGTAAAGGTCTGGTACGAGTCAGTCTTTAAAATAAATTAATGTTTTTACAGTAGTAAATATTTAGTGGAAATTATTGCCAATATAAATGGCTTATTTTATGTATAAACTACATCACGTGTCCAGTAAGTGAATTTATACAGCAGTGCCGCGGTTCAGCTCCAGATGAACCAGTTTGGGGGGTTTCCCCACACTTTCATGTTCAGCATTATTTTGATTTTCAGGAGTTTTCTCGCCTCCCTTCTTTTCATCACCAGTCCTGTTTGAAAGACAGAAAATGATCAACTTAGTACTTGAGTGTGAAGTTAAAGGTCATTTGGCAAATTTTAACATCCGACTAACGAAATGCTTCTTGTCTTGTGCCTTTTTGTCTTGACTTCTTTCTGTCAATGTTACCTGCGAGGAAATCCACACTCATTTCAAATGATCCTTACTTCTTCTTGAAGAGTTTCTTGAACGAGCTCCTGAATCCTCCCTTGTCTTTGCGACTCCTCTCGCTGAGGGGTGTGTGATTGTGCTCGTCGGTCCCACTCCTCCACTTTGACTCGTCCACCCATGCCTGGTTGCCAGGGTCCTGACCAGGGGGAACGCCATGTTTTATTAAACTAGTCATTCACAAAAGCTCTCATTTCCATTAAGGTTTATTTCTTCAGTTTATCTTGCCAATACCTTCTGCTCTGTTCAAAATAATTTCACAAAACTTCATTTACAAGTCAAGTCAAGGTCACAAATCAAGGTCAAAGTTTATACAAGGTATTTGCTTGTCCAGGCTATAATTTGTCAACGGGCGTATAGTGTTACTTGAACCTACAATGCTGAGCAGTCCATGAAGATCTGCGCTCTGCTTGTCCATGTTTCCCAGGGGACTGTGGACTTTGTGTGGCGGGGTGGAACATTTGCTGCCCTTACTGCCCTGACGCTCCAGTTTGGCATGGATACCAAGCGCCCCCCTTTGCGGGTGGTCTGACAGAGGTCCTGCATCCAGACCGCTCATGGTGTTCTCCATCTGCAGGCCGTTCAACGACTAGACAGCAGCAGAGAAGACGGAAAAAGTTGGTTGTGCATGTGTAGATTGACTGAGAACATTTTGCAGGTATCCTCACCTTACTCTTGCGCTGGCTGGCCTGGAGGGGTCGATGTAGATGGCAACGTGTCATTACGGCTTCATCCGGTGAGACACAACCCCGGCTGGGCAGTTTGCTGTAACTGTGACTCCCACCATTCCCAAACACGGTTGTTGACACATTTGTTGCTACCGCGTGGTGCGACGCTGAAGGGGGTTTGGGACACTTCACAAAGGCAATGTCAATGGAGGAGTCTGAGGAGGCAGATGAGCAGTGGTCGAACAGAGGTGCATCATGAAGGGAGATGCCATCCTCATCAAAGAGAGTCTCCATCCCTGGAGGGTCTGGAGGAAGGAGGAACTCTTCGATGGCATCAGCCAGAGCAGAGCCCGGCTGGACTTGGTGGAATTCAGAGGGTCTGGAGGGCCAACTGTGCTCATGTGACCTTTCTGATATCTCACTCTCTGGGATACTACCAAGACCTGAAAGATACAACACTGGCTCAATAGCTGACTAATTTGGAAAAATGCATCTGAGTTTGTGCCCAAGTTCAAACAGAAATGTCTCAAAACGCAGGGGTGCCTCCAGAAAGTTTTTAAAATCTAAATGAGGTGAGCTTTGAGTGGCACACAAAAACCATGTCAGAGTGTCAGGTGATTTATTCAAGAGAGTTTTTCATTTCCACTGCTGCCATTGTGCTTGCTCAGGATGGGAGACTGCGATGAAGTGAAGATTCAACATGTCTGCTGGATTCCTTAGATAGAGAACTTTACTAATTAGCTTTTCCATGTATGTGAATGTTCCTGTAAAGTGCCCTGAGACAACTTTGTTGTGAACTGGCGCTATATAAATAACCTATACAAATAAACTGAATTTAACTGAATTATGTTGTCGACATCATCCATCCATCCATCCATCCATCCATTATCTTTACCCGTTTATTCCATTTTGGGTCATGGGGGTCGCTGGTGCCCATGTCCAGCAATCACTGTGCGAGGGGCGGGGTACACCCTGGACGGGTCGCAAGTCCATCACAGGGACACATAGAGACAAACAACCATTCACTCTCTCACTCACACCTATGGACAATTTAGAGTTACCAATCAGCCTAACATGCATGTTTTTGGTCTGTGGGAGGAAACCGGAGTACCCGGAGAAAACCCATGCATGCATGGAGAGAACATGCAAACTCCACCCAGAAAGGCCCCTGGACCGGGGTTTGAACCAGGGACCTTCTCGCTGAGAGGCAGCAGCTCTACCAGTTGCGCCACCATGCTGCCCGTTGTCGACATCAATGACAATCAATTTGCAAGATCTGTGAGTGTTTGGAGTATGGTATGGGAATGACTCTCAGCTACCGCCACAGCAAATTTGAGCTCATTAACCATAAAACGGACTCATTTAGTGTCGCTTTTGTGTTCCTTAAGGTGAAAGCTTTGGCCGCTCATCAGATATACATCCAGTAATTAATTTCAGGGATTTTCATTAAAACCATCTACTATATCATGAGATATTTTGCTAACAGACAATATAAATAACAGGCAAAAGAGCCAATGAAGGGCAGCGATCTTGTAAAGGCCTCTCACGTTTAAAAATGCAATCATTCAAAGTTGCTGGGACCACAGACCTGTTGGTTTTTGAGTCCTTGAATCCAGATCTGGGCTGAAGAGAGGCAGGTGGGACGGCCACTCCGTGTCGTAACAATGATGTTCAGGGTCCTGATTACGATTCCAGTCCTGGAACCGGTGGGACTGAATTTGCTCCAGGAGACACTGCTTTCTGCGCCTAACCATGTTAGCATGTTCCCTGGGTGAAAGAGAAAATTCAGATTCAGTCTTGTTTAAAGCAGCAACATAACATCTGTAACAAAGTTAACAGATGTGTGTTTGTTTGTTGTTTGTTATCCTCATACACTTAGTGCCATTACAAGGGTCTGTGTGGTTATCTTTCAGTAAAATATAGACATCCAAACACATTCACGAAGCTGCTCACAGCATTGAATTGCCGCGAGGGTACGGTGAGCCGGTGTTGCTGGTTTGAATCCCACTCTCCACCGTCTTCAACAGCTGCTTCATTGTAGACCTGCAGGTGATACAAAGCAGAGCGGACAGCTTCAAAATGAGTGTATGTTCATCTTAAGTTATTCTCTGCCGTGTGTGGCTCCTGACCTCTTCACCTCCTTGCGGTTGAGCAGCAGCAGCTCCTGGTTGTGCTGAAGGAGGTGGTGGTACTGCGCAGTGAAGGACCTGAACTGCTGGATGCACACCAGCAGCAGGTAGTAGTCTGGGTGGTCTGTGTCTGTCTGCTTCAGAAGCCCCTTCACATACAAATACACACAATATACTCCAATATACTATACTACAGACTATATGAAATAAAAGGTAAGTTTGTCTACTTCTACATCTGTGCTGGTCTCACCTGGAGCAGCAGCAGGTACTCTGGGATCCTCTGGACTGGCTGAAGGAGCAGTGTGTGAAGGGACGGTTTGGATTCGTCACCGATTACGTCGCTCTGATGTCGAGTCAGAGCACAGGTAGAGCAGATGGAACAAAAGGTGAAAACTATAACTATATAACCTCTTATAAAGGGTCTTTAAACCACACAGAAATGGGAGCTGCTTTTCTGATTTAAGTTGCAATAAAGTTCCAGCACATTTAAATAACTTGACACCATTTTTTTTTTTTTTAATCTCTTTTTCTACTTTCAGATCTTTATTTCAGTTTTACCTCCAGAAAGGCAGAAGTCTTCACGGAGCTGGAAGCAAGCGTGTTGATGACTGACAGACAGTCCGGTAGCTCTTTCAGGTAGGAAACGTAGAAGTCCAGGAAATCGCTCTGAAACAAGGCAGAGGAGACTGTCGTAGAACAACAACGAGTCATGGACGACCAGGGTAGACTTCATTTATTACAAAGCTTTGGAGAACAGACTCACAGAGCGTCAATGCACTACAAGCACAGAGCTTATTCATGCCTTGTTCTGCTCATGTTCTGAGCCGTTCTGATTTCCTGACATGAAAAGGTTCATTTGTAGGAAACTCATCAGTGGCCTCCCCCTCCCCTTCATATTGTCAGAACCAACTGAACCCGTATGAGTCCAGAGTGGAAAAGAAAATGTTTTCGAGGTTTCTTACAGGGATGGGGTGAGGGCGATTAGTGTCTCTACCCAGCTGTCCACTAGAACCATTTAGGGCTGTGGCTGAGTGGTTAGAGCAGTCGTCATCCAATGCAAGAGTTGGGGGTTCAAGTCCACCAGCAATCACATACCGAAGTGTCCCTGGGCAAGACACTGAACCCCTTAATGCCTCCTATGCGTGTCCCATCGGTGTACGATTAATCTTTGTTCAGATATAATTAGAAACATTGTATCTAAAAAATGATGAAGAACAACTGGTTCATGCATTTGTCACGTCTAGACTGGACTATTGCAATGGTTTGTTATCACATACCACCATCACAGACATGTACACCTCCAGATGCAGGAAGAGGGTTACCTGCATCATGAATGACCCCACTCACCCAGCACACACACATTTTGACCCACTCCCCTCAGGAAGGAGGGGGAGGGGAAGCATTAAGCATTAAGTGTACAACCACTAGATTGAGGAACAGCTTCTACCCTTATGCTATTATACTCATGAATCCCTAACCAGGATAATCACTGTGAAGAATCCCATCATGTTGCTGCTGATCTGTTTCATGCTGCTGTGTTCATTCATGCTCATCTGCTTGTTAAAGACGGGAGCTGGCTGCGGACCACCGGACCCGGAAAACCCCCTCCAGCCCACGTCTTCTCCCCCCGGCTCAAATCTCCCTCAGAAGTGGTAACTCATACTAATCAATAAATCAAGGGAACATCAATTAATTTTTATCAATTGTATTAAAATCAAGGCAGGAAAAAATTACAGTTCACAGCGCTGGTCTCTCTGGTCTGTGACGCATTCACAAAAACCCGGAAGAGAGCCCCGATGTCTTGTGTCATTACTCATTTATAGGGTCCTGGACTCCTCCTTCACAGAAGGGGAGCTCAACCTGTCAGTGGATGAGGGGTGTAGATGAACAGATGCTGAGATATATTCATCAATTAAAACGGATTCTTCATTTTTCTGGACTGAATATAAACGTGCATTGAATTTAATGAAATGTGGACGTGAGACGTTAATTATCTTTGACTCACCAAGCGAGTGGGTCATTTATTAACAGAATCAAGTTTAACACATCACACATTTACATTAATTTGGCAGAATATGAAAACAACAACATAATTAATCAGCTTTACAACCAGGAAAACCATACGGCCATGATTTTCCGTTGCTTCACCACAGACATTAATGAAAACATCTGGATTAATTTTCTAGCAGAAAGGAGAGTTTAAAGATGGAAAATTGAGATTTATCTTACAGAGAGATGTGTGAGGGAATTTGTCTGTTTTAACCAGAACATGCACGCTCCTTCGGAAATCAGCTTGTCCCAACAGTACACTTTTGGTGAAGGTCGACTTTTACCTTTTCTGAAGATAGATCAGTTCCGGCGTGGAGTCTCACTTCCAACCACTGTTCAGCGTCTCAGTGAGAACAGCTAAATACCTCGAGAGTCGTGTGAGGTTATCCAAACAGAAGTTATAATTCCCAAAATCGTCTCTGGTTCAGCTTGATTAGTTTAACAGCATCCTGAATGCCCACGTTCTGCATTCAGGAACTCCCAAACTCTCTGCATTCTGGATTCCAAAACTCCTGAACTCCGAAACTCTGAACTCTTCATCTTCAAGACTGAGCTTACAGCAGCTTCAAGACTGAGCTGAACTCTTCTGTGAACTCTGTGAACTGAACTCTCCTGGTGAACTGAGAAGTGCCACATTTAATGGGCTCTACTTCCGGTTCATTTGAGAGCTTTTGATTGGTCGATGGACCAGAACAGAGGTGTGGTTTGTGATGTAAGGTGTTATGGAAAGTCAAGGATTGTTTAAGAACAGACAGAAAGATATCATGGAAAAACCAGACTTCGTGGCGTCGCTCCACCACGTATCTTGCTGTAAAAGTTAAACATGACATTTCTTTTCAGTAAACTTTTAGTTGACCGAAACCTGAACTTTGACACACTTACAAATTTGCTCACTTCAAAGCAGACGATCAAGAAATTGAATCATTACTCTGTAACGTACTCTAACTTGATTTCACTTTGAATTGAGGAATAAAAATCATTACTACTGTTTAAGTAAATAAAAATGATTAGTTCACTTCAACCTGTAGACATTGTTTGAACCAAAACAATTTGATTATCAAAACATTTGTAAAATAGTAATGATCATAGAGAATTGTCTTTTTCCACTTGATTAATTCAAGAAAGAAAGTCTCAGGATGGGTCAAACTGTATTTCTGGATTCAAATCAATGAAATGACAGTTTCAGTCCCATATGGTCAGTTTTGACATCAGGCCTAGTCCACTACAGGGGGCGTGACTAAGTGTGATCTCAGTGGATCTTATGTGGTTCTGACGTGTTAGGAAATATGAGACGGTGCTTCAAAAGCCTTTCTACGTGATGTGGCAAGCAGATTTAACTCTATTCCTTGACTGATATTGAATCCCAGGGAGACTTTCTTAGAGCTGCTGGCCCAGTTTAACCCAGTAAGAACCGGGTCATAATTTCATTATAATCCCGTCTCTGAGCAGATCAAAACTATAGGACCAGTCCAAAAATATCTTAACATGCTCACACAGACTCATGTTCGTGCTGCTGTTCAGCGTATTGTTTTTGTACTATTAGTGCTTAGTGTATTTTTAGTTAACATTTTTCTTAGTTCATATCTTAGATCTTATTACTGTTTTTCTTTTACATTTTATAATTTTGTTGGATGTAACTGGGACTCTGTGTATAGTTTCTAACACAGGCAACTAAAGAACCTTGAATCATTATCTGGGTGTCCAAATACTTTAAAACGTCTTCAGTTGATCCAAAATGCTGCTGCCAGAGTCTTAACTGGAGTTAGTGGGAGAGATCGTATCTCTCCAGATTTAGCTTCTCTCCATTGGCTCCCTGTCAAGTTCAGAATTGAATTCAAAATCTTACTTCGACCCTACAAAGCTCTCAACAACCTAGCTCCATCTTATATTACAGATCTTATTGTTCCATATTTTCCTAACAGAGCACTTCACTCTCAGACTGCAGGTTTACTCGCGGTCCTTAAAATTTCCAAAAGCAGAATGGGAGGAAGATCTTTCAGTTTGTCAGGCTCCTCTCTTGTGGAACCAACTTCCAGCTTCTGTCTGTAAGTCTGACACATTGTCCAGTTTTAAGACTGGGATTAAACCTTCTTTTTTGATAAATCCTATAGTTAGGGTCGGCTTGTTATGCTGCTATAGGCTTAGACAACTGGAGGACAAATTGATCTCATTTCCTCAAATGAATTGTTAAAATTGAATAGTTTTCATTTGATACTATTTCTATCTTAACATGTGATTCTTGACCTGCCATTGTGTATCTGTTCCTCTCAAACCCAGCCGGTCGAAGCAGATGGCCACTTGTCCTGAGTGTGGTTCTGCTAAAGGTTTCTTCCTCATGAGGGAGTTTTTCCTTCCCACTGACGCCTTCACGATTGCTCAAGATGAGAGTCTGTGATGGAGTTAAAGTCAAAGCAGTCTGTTCCTCAGATAAATAATGTTAAATTGTTATTTTTATATATAAATGTTTCTGAGGGCAGCACGGTGGCGCAACTGATAGAGCTGCTGCCTCTCAGTGAGAAGGTCCCCGGTTCAAATCCAGGTCCGTGGGCCTTTCTGGGTGGAGTTTGCATGTTCTCTCCGTGCATGCGTGGGTTTTCTCCAGGTGCTCCGGTTTCCTCCCACAGACCAAAAACATGCATGTTAGGCTGATTGGTAACTCTAAATTGTCCCTAGGTGTGATTGAGAGAGTGAATGGTTGTTTGTCTCGTTTGTCTCTATGTGTCCCTGTGATGGACTTGCGACCCGTCCAGGGTGTACCGCGCCCCTCGCACAGTGATTGCTGGACATGGGCACCAGCGACCCCGTGACCCAAAATGGAAGAAGCGGGTAAAAGTTAATGAATGGATGGATGGATAGTAAAGTGCTCTACATGTTGTGGTGTAAAGCACTTTAAGTATCTCGATAAGATAGAAAGAAACTAGGTACAGTCCATTTACCATTTACTGTACCATCATTCTACAAACAGTGACACCAGAGCATCAAATAAAATGTCGTTCAGATCACAGACAAAGAGTCAAATAAGGAGTTATGAAGTGTACAGTAAAATTAAATTGTATAATTCATGATAATGTCTCAGGAAGCAGATGAATGAATAACACCTACGCAGAGAACTGGCTTGACTTAATCACCATTATGTCCCGTTCTCTTATTACATTGGTCAACACTTAGCTAAACACTTAGCTTTTTTTCTTACTAATAATAAATGTTAAACCAGATATTGGAAAGAACACTCTTTTTAAATTCTGAATGAACAGGAACGAACTCGCTCTTTTAGTTGGTCCAGTACAACTGCAGCTCCTTTGAACAGTCTGGGAGTAACAAAAAGTCACTTGCCTCGTCGTCTGGAGTCCAGAATATGACACCAAATAATGTAATGAAGATGAAACGATTGTTGCACAACTAAATATCTGTGCAAATATATATAAAAAAAAAAAAACGTATATGAATTATACTGTATTTATTGACCCACTCAGTTTCCAGTTTTAAATGTATTTATAATGATCAATTCAGAGTTCACATATATTTTTAAAATGTTCATTAGAGGTTCCATTTGTAAAATTTGTTGCCTTTTTAAGAGCTCTTATGATTAAACATTCACGCCTCGTGTATCTACTGGAGTGTACAGCTGTATTTTGTTAACTCAGGAGACATTTGAAGACGGGGCATGGTTTTATAGAGTGGATCTTGCAGAGAACTTTGCAGTTTTTCCTCCCAGCACATAAATGGACCTGAGGCAACACCAGAAATCTGCCCAGGCTTCTAAAACAGATATTTGACACAACACACACAAAACGCTTTAGAGTCCAGCTCTGTGCTTACTTCTTTGCTGGTGAGCTTCATGAAAACATCTCCCATGATGCCTTGCCACTGGAGCTTGAGCACACGCTCCTGGAGAGTGTGAAGGAGCTTAAGGTGCTGCTGGATCAGAAACCTTAAAGAGCTGGGAAACGGGCTGAAAACAGCAGGACGGGGACAAAAACACAAAGAATATAAAATGTGTTAACAACACATTAACTAAAAGGCAGCTATTTTAGTTTATTTTATGAAATCTAGCCTGAGGAAACCAGATTTATCCTCAGCATCCAGAAATAATTCATGACAAACATCTTTCTTCTGCAGCTTGCGCAGGCAGGTTAACATAAATGCACTGATTTGTAAAAAAATAAAAAAATAAATAATGTAGAGGAACATATTCTGTCATATATTCATAAATTAAACGGATTCTTTCATTTTTCTGGACTGTATAATAACGTGCATCTGAATTTAATAAAATGTGGACGTGAGACGTTAATTATCTTTGACTCACCAACGACAGTGGGTCATTTATTAACAGAATCAAGTTTAACACATCACACATTTACATTAATTGGCAAGAATTGAAAATAACGACAGCTTATTAATCAGTTTTACAGGAAGTAAACAATACAGCGATTGTTCTCACTTCCAGTAGTACAACAAACGTCAACCACACGTCGGTGATTGAAAAACTTTGCTTCAGACATTTCTAAAAATATCTGGATTAATTTCTACTTGATAGAAGAGTTTTAAAGATGGGAAATGAAGTTTAAGTTGAGAGAGATGTGTGAGGGAATTTGTCTGTTTAACCAGAACATGCACGCTCCTTTGGACCAGCTTGTCCCAACGGTACACTTTGGTTGAAGATCGACTTTTTACCTTTCTGAAGATATGTCAGTTCCGGCGTAAAGTTCCACTTCGAGCCACTTTTCAGCGTCTCCGTAAGAACAGCTAAACCTCGGGAGTCGTGAGATCATCCAGAACAGAAATTTCATAATTCCCAGATCTTCTCTCGTTCAGTTTGATTTTCTTTCAGCAGCATCCTGAATTCCAGCCTTCATGAACTCTGGAACTGCTGGAGCTGCAAACTCTCCACCCGACTCCAACTGGAGGTGGAACCTCTTGCAGAACTCTCCATCATCAGCTGACTCTTCTCAAACTTACTCTTCCCCAACTGGGTTGAACTAGGAAGTGCCAACATTTAAAGGGCTCTATTTCCGGTTCATTTGGGAGTTTCTGATTGGTCGATGGACCAAAACAGAGGTGTGTTTTGTGATGTAAGGTGTTATGAAAAGTCAAGGAAAAAGATTAAGATTGTTTAAGAACAGACAGAGGATTGTTATGGAGAATTCAGACTTCGTGGAGTCAATTCTCTAGTATCTTGCTGTAAAAGTTAAACATGACATTTCTTTTCAGTAAACTTGCAGTTGACCGAAACTTGAACTTTGACCAACTTACACACTTGCTTATTGAAGACAGAAAATCAGACAATGCATCATTAACCTGATTTCTTCTTTGAATGAGGATTAAAAATCGTTATTACTGTTTCACAGTTGATTTAAAAATGAGTAGTTCACTTCAACATTTAAACATTGTTTGAACTAACACAATTTGATCATCAAACATTTGTAAAATAGTAATGATAATAGAGAATAGTCTTCTTTCACTTGATTAACTTAAGAAAGAAAGTCTCAGGATGGGTCAACCTGTATTTCTGGATGCAAATCAATGAAATGACAAGTTCTGTCCCATAAGGTCCTTAGGTCAAGGTTTTGACATCAGGCCTAGTTCACTACAATAACGTGACAGAGCTCAGCTGTGGCGCCGTTTGACTTCATCTGGAACACGTGTGCTGCAGCTCAGTGATTCCATTAACAAACCACGCCGAGCCTCTCTCGTTCACTGGTTCTACCTTTTATTTGATTTATCTATTTCCTGTTTTCCCTCACCGTTAGCTCCTAAAATAAGCTCAGGGGTCAGTTTAGAGATGCATTCTTTCAATTCTGCTGAGTTTCGATTGAGATTGTCTCCGTCGTTTTTTTTCCCCAGGAGTCACCTTTAGTGCTTAAAAAGACCCGTTTTTAGAGGCAAACATTTAGTCCTTATTCTATAAATGTTTCATATATTATTGTTCGATGTGTATATGGTTTTTTTTTTCAGTGCTCGTGCTCATGTGTTACCGTTTGTCTTTGGATGTCAGAGCTTCTGATCCGTTGAAAGAGATGTTGGCCTTCAGTAACAGAGACAGATGGGACACGTAGACTCTCTCTGACTCCAGCAGCTCCAGAGCTGCTTCCTGTCTCTTATCTGAACACAGAACTATCACAACAACAACAAAAACAATTCATATTTATACGCAACAGCTTGTTTCATTCTTTAAGTGCTTTACGTCAACCATGTGTGATTACCCACCATCAGTCAACAGTGGAGGGCAAGTTCAAGTTAACCTCGGGCTACTCAAGGTTAGATAATATAAAAAATGTAATTTGGCATTATACAGGCACGCTTGCCTGCTTCTGCACAAATTATTGATTAAATATAGTTTAAATCAAAGGTCTAGCACTCTTTGAAGGGATACATATCGCCCAGTTTTTAACGAAAATAATTTTTTGTTAAGAAATGACACAACCACTTTGTTAAAAACAGCCCTGTGTTTGCCTCTCAGCGGCAGGTGATGAATATTAAAATGCAAATTTGTGGCTTTACTGCAAGAAATCCACTTTGATTTCTTAAAGTCTGACTTTGATAAAAATGAAAACAAACAAAGAAGAACAGCAAAATGCACAACTCTTTATGCGATGCTAACTTGTTACAGTGAAGAGTTTCCATTTATTTTGTTGCTTCAAGCTGCAGTAGAAGTTGTTCTTACTGTTTTCAGTCTGGTTGTTGGAGATTTCTGTCTCATCTCTGCGGTTGCTCTTCTCTCCCCATACAGGAGGTTTATGTGGCTGAACCTCATGGTCCGAGCTGGAGGCTGCAACACACAGACATGAGTTGACCTGACCTGCAGGTTTGTCTGGATGTGATTAAGACAGAGACAGACTCACTTTGTGTTGACGTGTTGCTCCTCTGTGGAGACTCGCTGTGTGGCAGAGTGGGGCAACAGTGTTGGAAAACACTGAGCTCTGACTGGCTGGGGGTGCAGATGTGTTCATCCCCTGGCGGTGTTAGTACATCAGCCCTGGAGCTTTTTCTGCTGCAGAGCAATCAGGACATATGAAGAAGCATCTTTAGTTAAACAACACTGTTGTTTCTACCTTAATGACAGAAAGCAGGGGCTCTGGGTGATCAGAATAATCTGAAAGGTTTTATAACCTGTGTTCAAGATTATAAAGTAAGAATAAAGACTTAAAGAATGATCTGTATATGAAGAAGGTTGGTGCAGCTGTACCTGCGTGGAATTGAAATTGTGTCTTTATTGCTTTCAAACTGCAGCAGCTCCATCCTCTTCTGCATCTCCATCTGTCTGCTGGACACGTCCTTAATGTGGAACAAGGCCACATTCAGCTCCTCCTGCAATTACCGTAATTTTCGCTGTATAAGTCACATTTCTTTGCATAAGTTAGCATGCCTGTGACTTAGACAGCAAAGCGAGGTATTTATGTTTTTTCCCTCATATTTATAACCCAATATTTTGGCTGAGATCAGCGATTTCATTAATTCTGACATGAAAAATATTGAACACTACCATTTTCAGCCACTAGAGGGCCCTCAATTTATATGGCAAGCCAAGTGTCTCATTAATAGGTAAAAGTGGCTATTAATGAGACACTTGGCTTGCCATACAGGCCACCTTTGTCTTGCTCTGGAACTCCTTGAGAAAACGTCAAATCAGCTGCAGTTCATCGCACCGCCCAGGTGAAATTCAGCTGATTTGACCATTAAAGTGCATTTATTAAGGAAAAGTTCAACTGAGACACACCTTGACTATAATGTTGAGCAAACAAATAACTGATTTTAGGTGGTTATCTTGTTAAATTCTTGTTAAAGCCTCTCGTGCATGCTCCCACGGCCGTCATTTGGCGGACAATCGATTTTTGTCACACCGGCCCACATTTCCGGGTGGTCAGTGGTGACGCGTAACAGATTCAACTTATACAGCCAAGTGACATATTTATGTGTTTTTTTTTTGTTTTTTTTACTTTATTAGATATATTTGGACTGATGCGATTTATACAGTGGTGTGGCGTTTACGGCGGCAAGTACGGTAGGCGTTATCAGTCAATGGTATCTGTTCAGTTCACTGGTATGAGATATGATGAACCAGTTGAAAAAAATAAAACCTGTATGATTGCCTTTCTGCTTTTAATCAACCACAGATAAATATTTTACATAATCTTATAAGTTTGAGTGGTCAAGTCTGTTAAAAGAGCAAAACAATTCTTGAAAATATATTTAACAATGAGATTTGAGTCAAATCTAAAAATGGACGTATTTGGAATGTTGGCAAAAGTTTTTTTTTCCCACCTTGATTGTGTTGAGCGAGTTCTTGAGGCCCATTATCTTATCGTCTACGTCGGTCTGATGGGCCTGCAGCTTCTCCTCCAAGTCGTGGTCCCTCTGGCGGAGCTCGCTGAGGTCAGTCAGGCCTGCATGGAGCCCCTCACGCAGCTCAACCAACAGGCCCTGCAGCTGCAGCACAAGGACAGTTAGACTAATTGTTTGCAGGAGTGGTTATAGGTAACAAAATAAAAATAAAACTAGGCATGCTTTAGAAAAAATAAATGTGTGCACAAATTTAACCTGTATTGTGGTTTGTATTAGGTCTCAAAATGATGCTTTTCTTTGCATAATATTGGGATTATGATTACCCATTCTCCCCTGCACTTTAATTTTTAGTTTTCTCGTGTACTGTTGATTAAATTTATTTAATAAGAATAACTCGATCAGCTCATGGGAACATTGGAGCTCCTTCTCCTATTGTTGCATCTTCATGTTCTTCTCTAAAGTCATGTGAAAAGCATCAGGCAGGAGACTCAATAGAGGTCCTGTGATGCCTAAATATTCTTCAAATAAAGGATGTGCATTCATTTCTGCGAAGAATTTCAGCTTGAACTCACATTTATATCACCTAATTTTCTCCCATCACCTGCTTAAAATTAAAAGTGGAATTTAGTTCATGTCTGGTACATATCTGATCTGTTTCAATGTTGATGTGTTCATGCGTGCACATCTGCTCACAGACTCATGTTCATGTTTGTGCTGATGTTCAATGTTTTATGTTATGAGTGCTTGGTGTATATTTAGTTGATGTTTTTCTTAGTTCATATCTTAGATGTTATTACTGTTTTTCTTAGACATTTTATTGTTGGATGTAACTGGGACCCCGTGTACATAATTTCGCTCCACCACATGTACCACATGAGGTGCGAATGACAATAAAGAAACTCTGACTCTCTGACTCTGATATGGGATGTAAAGCAAGAAACAAACAAACAACATGAGAATTTCTGACTGAACCGCCATAAGGCAAGACTGACTTTAGACTTTTCTGCAACTCCTCATGTAAATGTTTGCTTTGGATGCTCAAAAGATCACATATGATGCGTTCTAAGCCCAGAAATATTTTGCTGCTAGCTAAAGTTGGAGCAACAATTGAACAATGCTAGAAATTAGACAAAGATTTCCTTGTACAGACTCTGACTTAAGAGCTCTCGGTGGACTTAAGAGTAATTTTATTTCATGGGTGTCTTTAATCAGCTTGTCAGTTCTGTCTGATTTGCTTCAAAACATTTTTGTTGACTGAAAATCACATTTTATGATTCGTAACCCAAAGTATTCATGAGCGTCTTTTTTCTTTGTTTTACCTGAGTGATGCCCAAAGGAGGTTCCTCCGCAATTACTTCGGTACCTGTGGGTGAAAATAGGTTAGATAGGGGGTAAAAATCTAAAAACTACCAGCTCTAGGTCAAAGTTTTCCCAATTAAATTGTCTAAATAATGAGAAGGCATAGCATGTAGTCGTTTTAAAAACAATCTCAGCATCTAAGTCTGGAAAAAATAAAGCATATATATATATATATATTTTTTTTTTTTTTTTTTTTTTTTTTTTATTTATTTATTTATTTTAAAGCACCTCAATGTGTAATACCTCTTACGGCCACTGGGGACCAGCTCAAAAGTATTGATCAATTCCATTTGAGCTCCAGAATTTCTGAGTTTTCATTAAAAAAAAAAAAAAAAAAATCTAAGTGAAGCTAAATTTCATACTTTAAAAGTTGGGAAGTTTTCCACCAGCCCAGACCTAAAAAATTCAACATTGTGCATAGTGGTTGCAGTGGAAAACATTGTATTATCTCCTTTGATAGTTTGAATCTCACAAAAACAGTCAAACACAAATTACTGTAACCACATATCAGCCTGACAGGATTTGAGTAAACTTTTGGAATGATCAGGCCGACTGATTCAGCAGTCTGACACATCCACTGTTTGCTCAGCTCGCACTCATTAACACAGTAATGCTGACATTGTTCAGGGAAATCAGCAACAAACTAAACATATGGTGTCATACAAAATTGATTATTCGTCATTAGCCAATGCAGCATTTTTTACACCTGTGTGTTGTTTATGAGGAGGTAATTTAAATGATATAAATGAGTCATTTGGTTAGTCATTAGCCTAGCCTGGATGAGGACTTCTGCCCTTTTCTCCACTTTGTGCTCATGACTGACTGAGGTCATCACTGATAGGTACTAACTACTGATAGCTATTTGACAGAACTTCACCGCAAAAATTACCAGTCTATTTCTTTAAGTCTTTAAGTCTCTTGGAGTCAGCCTCCCCACCATCACAAACATCTACACCTCCAGATGCAGGAAGAGGGACACCTGCATCATGAAGGACCCCACTCACCCAGCATACACACCTTTTGCCCCGCTCCCCTCAGAAAGGAGGTTGAGGAGCATTAAGTGTAGAACCACTAGACTGAGGAACAGCTTCTACCTTGATGCTTTTAGACTCATGAATCGCTAACCAGGATAATCACTGTGAAGAATCCCATCATGTTGCTGTTGATCTGTTTCATGTTGCTGCTGATCTGTTTCATGTTGCTGTGTTCATTCGTGCTCATCTGCTCACACACTCATGTTTGTGCTGCTGTTCGACGTAATGTTTTTATGCTACTAGTGCTTAGTGTATATTTAGTTAATGTGTTTCTTAGTTCATATCTTAGATCTTATTATTGTTTTTCTTTTACATTTTATTGTTGGAAGTAACTGGGACTCTGTGTACAAATTTTTTTTCCACCACATGTACCACATGTTGTGCGTATGTCAATAAAACTCTCTGACTCCGACTCTAAATAAGGAGTTAGCTTGTTAAATCAGCTTGTTTTGCTAATACTCGTTAGCATGATTGGAAACTGGTAGTTGAATTCTGAAGTACCGTTAAAAAATAAAAATCACTAATCAGTAACTCCTCATGAAATAGCTCTCAACAAATGCCTCCACGTCAAATTAATGAGCCAATTGTTACATATTTTCCTAACAGAGCAGAGCAGTTCACCCTCAGACTGCAGGTTTCCTTGTGGATCCTAGAGTTTCCAAAATGGAAGGCAGAACTTTTAGTTCCCAGGCTCCTCTCCTGTACCAACTTCCAGTGTTTGTCTGTGAGTCTGACAATCTGTCTACTTTTAGGACTGGGCTTTTTCTTTTTGATCAAATCCTATAGTTAGGGTCTGTTTGGCTTTCCAGAGCTATCCTTTACTTATGTGCTATAAGCTTAGTCTGCAGACAAACTGACAAACTGACCTTTCCTCACTTTGCTGCTGTCTTTATTATCATCATATGCTATTCTTTGTCTTCGTTTTTTTTGTTTTTCTTTTCTTTCCACTGTCACCAGTTTGCTGCTCAGGATGGGAAACTGTGATGAAGTGAAGATCCACCACAATCTGCTGGTTGTCTTTGATAGAAAACCTTTTACTAATTACTAATAGTATGAGAATGTGATGTGCCTTGAGAAAACTTGTGAATTGGCACTATATGAATTAACTGGATTGAAAATTAAAGATTAATTTAATTTTATCCCCAAATATTCGCTCGTATTTAGTGTTCAGGTGGCTCTTTTGAAAATTATTCCAGATTTGAGTCTCAGACGTTGTTTCTTAGGTTTTCAAACAGCTTCTTTTTCTTCTTGTCCTAACATGATTACTACTTTTACAAAAAAAAAGTACAGAGATATCAGTGGTTATTATTATGTCCAGCTCTTGAATTTACTCTGTGCCTAAAGAATTACTCATTAGTATTCCTAATAAATCTAATATTGTTATACAAAATTTCTCCAAGCTTGAGAAATGACCAAAGCTTTTACTATACATCATCACATTAATGCATTCAGCCACAACCTGATGGAACGTGCTTGTTTTTTTATAGTTTATATCTTTAAAAAAAAAATCAAAATAATATTTGATGCAATCAGCATGACTGCAAGTGATAAAACCTTTAGCCGTACAACTCATGACCGACCAGTGATAACACTTAAAGGTAAGTTGAAATGAGGACAGTTTTGCTTTAACCGTCATGGGAAAATGAAATTTGTCTGAGTTAAATTAAAAATTTCAGGCTTTATTGCCACTTTTATATCATTTTCACAGTGTTTTATGGCATGTTGTTGTAACAGTAAGACTTTTGTTTGTGGTAAAGGGAGCAGCAGTGTGAAGTCTCTTCAAATTCAAGGGCAAATTTACTTCGGCAGACTTTTAAAGAGCTCACAGACTTTTAAATTCAGGACATTTAGGAACAAACCACTGGTTGAAAAGAAGCACAATGCTTCTGTGTGTCGAGGAAATGTCAGAGCAGGTCGAAGCCGCTGTCCAAACTGCAGAGGGTCATCTCAAATACGCATTTCCCATATATTATCATGCATAATAGACATGCTCCACTGGCACAACACCATGTGCAACGATCAAGGAGCAAAAGAAAGAGCATGAAGTGTCCAACAATGTGAGAACAGTGACAGATTTCTTGTGGCAACTTAAAATTTAAGTGTTTTATTTCATCTGCATTTGAGAGAAAACTGACATGATGTACTTTGTACATCGTGCTATACACTGCAGTTTTAAAAGAGAACGAAAATGATGGAGGTAAATGACGTCTGCCGCTCCTGCAGAATGCTGGAATAAAGTCGAACATTGTTGAAAGAACAAGGGCTTCAACTTCAGCTTATTCAGAAGTTTTATTGCTTGTAGAATGAAGAAAATGCTTAAATCTTTTCAAAACATTACTTTTATATATATATATATATATAAAAAAAAAGCTCAATACAACCTATATTCAAAGCAGATAAGTAACAAGTAATTTCTTTATTAAAATGCCAAAATATGTTTAGAACAACTCAGAGGTAAATGTAAACAATACGTACATGCATTTTCATATCAAACTAATATTATCAGGATTATAGACATCCTGACACCAAAATATGATCATTCATGAACTTTAATATTTACAGCACTCGTTGAAGTGACCAGTTTTTAGTAAGAAGCAAAGAAGACTTTATTTTTCTTTGTGAATAAACATCTTGAAATAAAGGCCAAGTCTTTTAACATTTCATATTTAGAACTTTTCTAAAGATGAAACTTTAGTTTATTTCTCAACTTTAGTTTTCTAAAGTTGTGAGAAAGTCTGGTCTGGGGGTTAATCTGGGCCAATGAAGCCTGCAGAAGTGTGTGTAACAAGGCTACTTTTGTTTAACCTGGAGAAGAAACTAATGTGTGGTAGAATATGTAAAAAATAAGATGCCAGTCGGAAACACAAAACATCTTTGAAAAGTACAAAATGAGCATGAAGAAACATGGAACAACAACACCAAATAAAAGCACTGAGAAGGAAAATAAAGTTAAAGTTTTGTAAAATGGTGCAGAACGTCTGTAGGATATGATACAAATCACTGCTGCAGGCTGCCTTTAGTCTTGGTCTTGGCTGTTAAGTTAAGGGCTCTCACCCTAAAGGATGGGGAGGGGGCTGTTCATAATTCATTCACAGTTAGGTTACATTTACCACGCCTGTGAAGACGATCGCTGAACCCCAAGATTACCATTTCAGACTTTAGGGAAGAACATGTTGCAATCCAATATTTGTTAAAGGCTTTATAATACTATAAGCAAATGGTTGGTTTTGCTCTTTAAACTGTACAAAAGCTGCATTATCTCACATCTTCTGATTTTTGAACGCATGCTTTAAGGCAGGGGTGTCAAACTCACTTACAAAAGGGGGCCAAGATTAAAACCTTTTTCAATCTAAGGACCGGTTTCAGAATCTACATTAACTCAAGTTTGATACCCAACATCTTTTATTGGTTGCAGGTTCCTCAACAAGAGTTTGATTGGTCTTATTTCATGTTCTCTATTGCACTTTTGACATCATAATCAAAGATTACTGAAAAACATTAAAGTGATAAAAGTATTTTACATTTTAAATATCATCTTGGGGGCCAGATAAGATGTCAACCAGGGCCACATTTGGCCCCTGGGCCTTGAGTTTGACACATACGCTTTAAGGGAATCGTGTAAATAGCATTTGCTGAGATGAAAAGCATTACAAAAGGTATTGAAATAGGGAAGAAAATTTGTTTTGCTTTTTTTTTTTTGGCTTGGAAATTAAAAATTCTGATGTCGATGTTCAAAAACATTTCACAAAAAACAGAAAAAACTATCAGTAACTCTACCTCTTAAGCAAATAAAAGGCATTATAACATACATATATATACATACACACACACATACATACATATATATACATATA